TGTGTGTGTGTTTCACGAGATGGTCGTAGGACATTTCTGGCGGCGTCTGTCTTGTTTTGTCGCATCGGGCTTATGTTTTGAGAACATTGTTTGTGCTCTTGAAACATATGTGGATTCTAAGAACATTTCGTGGTAGGACTATAGGAATGCCAGGACGGTCGATCCCTGCGCAAACGATGCCCAACATCGAAGAAGAAACGCCATGAACAAAATTGTTTGGCGCTCCGCGCGGATTTTTTGGATCGGCGCTTGGCCACCCCGGTGGCGCCTCCGGCGCCGCCCCTGGCGCGCGGAGCGCGCCAGGGAGGGGGGTTCAGCGCGAATCGCAGAAATCCGCGCGGAGGGTAAAAGGTTTGTGTCCCTCTACAGCAGCAGTTCCTGCTCATTGTGAGCAAGACTCGCTGTCTAAGCCGGGGCGGACGTTGTTCCCTGAAGACATCAAACCACCTGTCCAGCAGCGGCCGCTGTCGGTCTTGGGCAAATGTGTTGTTGGGCATTGTGCCCATTTGTTCCGTACCCAGTTCGGACATCTAAAATCGTGGGCCCGGCCGGCCCGACGCACACGAGGAAGTTCTTGACGCCGTGCGTATCCCCACCAGCCCATCCAGACACGATCGCAAGGTGAGTTGCCTTGATGTGAGGGCAGCGTAGGAACACAAAGTGCGACAGCCTCCTTTGACGTCTTTAGGGAGTGCGGGAAGGTCGGGAACATTTGTTGTATGAGCCGTCAGACATTAAATTGAACAGGTCGACCTGGCGCCGTTTTGGCTCTATGGGGGCCTTCTTGGGGTCCTCTTCGACACATGTTTACCTGCCAGAGTTAAGCCATCGGAGAGGGGATTCTGCACCACGATGCTGCCAATGTTGTTTCCACACTGGTTTAGAAACACATCTGATCATATTGTTCCGAATCAGAGAGGAGAAAAAGGAGGAGGAGGAGGAGGAGGAGGAGGAGGAGAAGAAGCAGGAGGGGGAGGAGGACGAGGTTGAATGCGGCCTTGGATGTGTCACTCGTTGCCAATGCTTTTCCGAACGGGTTTGAGACAAACATCAGATACAATTATCCCGAAGGAGGGATGAGGAAGAGGAGGAGGAGGATCGAAGAAGTTTTGGTGGTCCATGCGGCCTCCTGGAGCGTCTTTGATTCCTCGGAGGAGCCTCTTGACACTTTGGTCCCTCGTGGGGTCCTCTTGAGGGCCTCCCTGGTGCTGCTGGGCGCCTGCTTGGTGGTGTTGGGCGCCCCTTTGGGCTCTCTTGGGGAAATCTTGGAGGAGATAGATCAAAGAGGGGGGGGAATAAATTGAGGTCCGGAAGCTCCAAGAAGGCCTCCTGGGAGCTTCTAGGGCCGTTCTTGGGTTCCTCTTGAGCGCTCGTGGGGCCTTGGGGCCGTCTTGGGCCACTTTGGGGCCAGTTTGAGGCCCAAAATGCACATCGGAAGCGAGAAAGCGAGAAGCCACGACACATTGGTTTTCTTAATGTTGTTGGGATGTTGGCCTCTGGGGGCGTGTCTTGGGAGGCTGGACTGGCACCAGGACCGTGTTCTGACTGTCTTGGGCTGTCTTGGAGGCATGTCGAGGGCTATCTTGAGCGATGTGCGATGTTGGCGTATCTTAAGCCATCTTGGAGGCTGTTTTGGGCAGCCGAGGGCCCTCTTGGAACCATCTTGGGCGCTCTGGCGGCTTTGGCCCACCCCCCCTCCCAGGCCCAGGGAAAGGGGTAGGGGGAGGGGTCAAGACCCTCCTAGGTAGCAAGTTGTCTAGCTCACTCCCGCTTGTCCTCCCAACACATCAGTAACACCCGAGCCCTTGCATGTTCAGCGGTCGTCGTGGGATGGGCAGCTTCTGGGAACCAAAACCGACCCCATGCGCGCGACGCTGGGGCGAGGTGCGCCACGCGTGCTAGGCGCGCCGCGCGCGTCAGGCACCCCTGGGCCCGTGCGTGCCAGGCAGTCGAAAACCAATGCCCATCATTGTGCTTGGTGGGCCTGCGCACAGCAGGCCATCCGCCATCACCCCCGCTGTCCCTGCCCGAAACCGCTTGACAGTGATCGCAGGGTGGCCGCGCATGGTCCAGATTTAGCCGCGAGGTGCATGTTGTATTGTTTGTTTGACAGGGATGGTAGCCCTGCGAACAGCCGGCAAGATGCTGACACTCCAGCCGTCCCGTGCTCGCGGGCCTTACGAACATGACTCCAGACTTTGGCCCAAAGTGTATGTTGTATCGTTATTGTTTGACAGGGATCGTGTGGGCGGGGGGGGAGCGCATCGGGTTGGTTGCGCATGTTCCGAACTTGGAGGCAGAGTGTGGTTTGCATTGTTCTTTGACAGGGATGGTTGGGTTCGGGGGTTTGGGGATCATAGGGTCATTGTTCCCTGTTGGCTGCTGGTCGCCCGGGGGAGGGGGTGCATATCAATAGGGAATTGTGAAAACCCCCTCCCCCGAGAAGGTCAGGAGGGGTTTGGCAGGGAGCTCCGTTAGACCACTCAGCCCAGAGGGCCGGTGGGATTCGTGGTCCAACCTGGGTCCTCGGTCTTCAGGGCCGTCCCTGAACATGTGGGCGGTTTCGTCTGTGACATTTGCCAAAAGCGCCCCCGTAGCCCTAATGTCCGTGGCCCTCCTAACTCATGTCCCCTCCCAAAGGGTTAGGGGTGTTTTCGTTGCTGCTCACCTACCGCCACTGGGCTCAAGCCGCGTCCTTTTCCCTGCTCGCTCGCCCTGCCGTCGCCTCCCCTACATACATATGGCGAGGCAGCTCCCCTTCAGCAGCCCGGCACGCCGCCCGGCAGCGCGCCTGGCCCTGGTCGTCGGGGCTCAAGGGACGGGGGTCTATGCAGAGGGCCACCAGAGCGCCAGATCTTGCAGGATCCTGCAGAGCGGGGGTGCATTGACCCGGGCCAGGGCGCAGGAACCTGCAGGATCCTGCAGGATCTTGCAAACCTCTGCTGAGCCGGGTCTGGATTGACCCGCGTCAGTCCATCCCCGAGGTCGCCGCGCTCGGCGACGCGCTGGCGGCGGCAACTCGGGCCAAGGCACGGGCCCTCAGTCGAAGAAGGGAACACGGCGCGTGCCCCAACCCTCGGAGGCCCCGCGCGGGCTTCCTGGATCTGCGCTGGGCCCCCACGGGCGGCGCTGCCCGCGCCGCCCCTGCACGCGCTCCGCGTTTTCCTGCGAGGTCGGGAGCAGCGGCTCAGGGGCGGCAGCGCCAGGGGCGGCTGCGGTGACCCTCCATCGGGATGCAACTCCCGGGAGATCCAATTCTGCCGACGAAAGCCTCCCAGTGGTTGCCTCCTGGCCTCCATCGCCCGCTCATCGCCGACGGGGGCGCGATGGCCCGCCCCGCCCGGGAACGTGCGGGTCCGCGAGCGGCGGCCTTTCGCCGATCTCTCGACGATGCCTCGCCAACTCCAGCTCAACACCTCCACTCCGAGCCGGTTTCCCCTGGTTGTTGTCCCCTGAGTCTAGCTGTAGCGAAGCGTCCTGGCTCTCCTATGGCCCTACCAAACAATGGTCTAAGAACCTTCTGTGGTTTCCACGCAATGTTCTTAGAACATTTCTGGCTGGGACTGTTATGATTTCACACATCGGGCTCATGTTCGAAGAACATCGTTTTTGTTATTAGAACATGTTTGGGTTCTGAGAACATTTCGTGGTAGGACTATAGGAAAGCCGGGATGGTCGCTCCCTACTCAATTGAGAGGTCCGGCGCCGATCCCCAACAGATTCAGAAGTCTGCGCGGGCCTCTTGAAGTTCGTGTGGTGTGGCGGGTTTCCCTTCTTCTGGCTCAGCGAGGCGGCGGGCTCGCAGCTGCGGCGTCTCGGCACCAGGGCGCTGCCCGAGAGCAGCGTGGCCGATGCCGACGAGATCCGCGAGCTCCTCGCCGAGGCAGTTGCCAGCTTCAGCCGCGCGATTGAGGAGCGTGAGCGAGGCTCGAAGTTGTTGTGCGGTCCTTCCTTCGGCGGCGAGCGAGGGGGGAAGTGAGAAGGAGAAGGCCTTCTCGGAAGGCGGTGGGGCTCCTGAGGAGCCTTCGCGCCTTCTGAGGAGTTACTTGTTGATGCTTGGGAAGGCTGAGAACGTTTCTCAGACGGCTGGGGGGCTTCCGAGCTTTCTGAGAAGGCCCGCACCCTCTCACTTTCCCCCTTGGCGCACCGTCTACTCATGGGAGCCTCGGAGGGTCCCAAAGTTCCTTGCAGTTTGGAGAGTTTGGTCCGGATTTCATCGGATGTGGTCAAATCCTGGACGAAATTTGGACGCAATCTCAAAGAAATCTGGAAGAAAGGGCGGAGAGGGGTGGTCCAACGGCGGAGGTCCACAGAGGCTCCCATGCAGTCCAGCCCAGGGGAGCAACAGCCGCGGAAGCACAATCTTCCAGATGCCCAGATCGGCGCAGGCCCCCCCCGTCCTGGCGGCACTTCCAGCGCCGCTTCCTGCCGCGCTCCGCGCGCCGATTGGAGGAATCTGCGCGGACCTCCGGAAGGCTCGCGTGCACGGAGCTGCCCGCTCCGAAGAGCACGACGCGCAGCATATGTTCGACGGTCCGCGCGGATCTCTTGGCTCCGCGCGCGCTTAGGGCCCCCCACTGGCGGCGCCTTCCGCGCCGCCCCTGGCGCGCTCTGCGCTCCAGGGAAGGGGGCGCCCAGCGGTCCATCCAAGATGTCCGCGCGGGACGTCGAGAGTTCATGTGTGCAGGCAACTCGCACGGCAGGGATGGGCACCCTTCCCAAGGGTACCCTTGCATGCTTGCCCCCTCGGTCCGTCCTTGGCCACTTTCGCTGGCCGCGCCCCGCTCGAGAAGCTTCGAAATGGGCGTCCAGGGCCCTTGCATCCTCATCGCGGAGCCTTACGACACGGGCCGTTTGCACGCCGTTGTTTGTTCCTCTGCTGTCCTCCTGGAGGGGGCCCCGACGTCGTCCAGCGCAGCAACGGCACGAGGCGGGGCAGCAGCGAGGCCGAGCTCCAGTGGGTCGGGTGCTTCCTGGGCGGCCCAAAGGACGACCTCAAGATGCAGATCGGCTGGGGGTACAACTCCGAGAGCTGCAAGGCCGCGTGCGCTGGCTCCCCGTACATGGCCCTGCAGGGCGGGGGCTGGTGCTTCTGCGGCACGTCCCGCACGCAGGGCGGGCTCTCCAAGAGGCTCCGCGACGAGGACTGCTGGCCCGCCTGCGCGGGCGAGAGTGCCATGGAGCCAGCACGGCCATGCGGCGGCTACCTCAGCAATGCCGTCTACGCCCTGGACGATGTGCAGCACAGGGCCGCGAGGACGCACCGTGATGGGGAGATGGCTGTCGCGTACCTTGCAATGCCGATTGTGCCAGTCGCGTTCGTGCTCATGGCTCTGTGTGTGGCACCTTCGCGCCGGGCAGGCTCCGGGGCATCTGCCACCTGACGCGTTGATACGCGTGGTTTTAATTCGGTAGCGTGTCCAGTGACACGGACGGCGATGCAATTGCGGTCTACACGATGCAGCATGCCCACGCTGTCTTGTTCGAAGCTTGTAGGCGTGAGGGAGGGCCTCGTCTAATCAGCCAGCTGCGCCCGTGCGGGGCAGCCTGGGAGGTTTTGGCGGCCGTGCGAGTAGCGGTCGCTGGCGCGCCTGCTTGCGACCTTCTGCTTGCTGGCGCTTCCGCGCGTGCCTCCTCTTCCTCCTTTCCCCTTCTCCTCCTCCTCCTTCTCCTCCTTCTCCTCCTTCTCCTCCTCCTCCTCCTCCTCCTCCTTGACCCCCTCCTCTTCTTCCCTCCTTCTCCTCTTCCCTCCTCCTCCTCCTCCACCACCTCCACCTCCTCCTCGTCCACGTCCACGTCTTTTCTGCCTTCTTTCCTCCTCTTCCTCCTCTTCCACCTCCACCTCCTCCTCCTCGTCCTCCCTGCCTTCTTTCCTTCCGTCTGTCCTGCCTACTCCTCCACCTCCTCGGGCTCCCTCCTCGTCATGCTCCTCCTCTTCGTCCTCCTCTTCCTCCTCGTCCTCCTCCTCCGCCTCCTCCTCTTCCTCTTCTCTCCTCCTGTTCCCTCCTCTCCTCCTCCTCGTCCTCCTCCTCTTCCTCCTCATCCACCACCTCTACCTCATCATCGTCCCCGTCGTCATCATGGCCGTCGCCACAGACCCGCTGGGCCCCGCGCGGGTTCTACCTTGGTGGGCTACTCGAGTCGTGCCCGTCTGTGGCAGAGAGCGACGGTCGCCGCTCTCCTTGACAAGAAGTTGTGGCAACTACGCTGAAGTAAGTGAGAACAGCTTTGGGCTCGGGAGGGGCTCGTGTTTCTGGGCCGTTTTTTTCGATGTGCAGTCAACCCGCATAGTAAGGATGGGCAACCTTCCCATACCCTTGCATCCTTGCCCTTCGGCCCATCCTTGGCCGCTCTCGTTGGCCGCGCTCCGCTCGAAAAGCTGCGGAATGGGCGTCCAAGGCCCTTGCGTCCTTACCGCGCATCCTTATTCCACGGGTTGACTGTGTATCGTGGAACCTGTCAGTGGCCTAGGCTCGCTGTGGCCAGGAAAGCCCCTCCGTTCCTTCTTATTCGCCCTTCGGGGTAGCACGATGACTGTCAGGAGGACTGCAAGTTTCGACCAGGAGCTCCTAGATCTCGCGTGATTCCCCGGTCAGAGGGCCGATCAGTGCTTGATGATCGTTGCCTCTGCATCCTTGCGGCCCACCATAATCCGAGTTTGCCAGTCTGGAGTCGTTGAAGTTATTTCAGCGTGGATTTTCCAGGGTCTCGCATCATCGTTCATACTCACACAGGGTCATAGAGGAGTGCCTGCGAGACTGAATTTACCCCGAGCGCTTTCTATTTCATGCGCCGAGGGGGCTATCCTTTCATGTAGTCTTGGGCCGCGTGGGACAGCACGACAGTCCCTCGTCGATTGGTTGTTTCATGTGCTCATCATTTGCCCGAGGGTTTTCCTTGCGCCCCTTCGATGTCCGAGTCCACTCGTCCGCCGAGCGGGCAGCCGAGCGAGCTCAACTCTACCACAGCGGTGGAAATTGAGCCCGCTCTGCCGCCGACTGATGGATCCTGGGTCCGACCGGCGACCTGGTTGGCCAGGGCGCACGATTGGCTCTGAAGTAAACCCTGGGCGATTCGGTTCGCTCCCCGCAGAAGAATGTATATGTATACATACACATAGATATAAACCACCATGCCTTGCCAGGGCCACCCTGGGCCCTCACTTGCATACCTGCCTGGCCTCAAGCCTGGATTGCGCATTCGCCATGCCGGGGCCAAGGATGGCCTGGTGGTAGCGTGCCCTGAGACCCCACGTTGCAGAACATTGCAATATCGCCTAAAATCACGACTGGGGCCTTGGGCCCCATCTTCTGTGGCATATTTTCGAGTTGGATCGATCTGTGCTGGTCCTGGGGCCCAAAGTTGGGCGAAAGCACGTGGTGTGAACAAATTGCAACGCCCGAGTCGGAGGGTAGTGCGGTGGAGACCCATGCCAAGAAACACCCTGCTTGCCTCCAGGGTGCCCTGGGCTTCTTGGTCTTCGATGGTTTTGTGATGGAAAGCGTGACTTTCCCACAACAAAAATCGATGGACGTCCTGGGGTCTCAGGGTTGGGTTTCTTGTGGAAGGCTTCTTGCGGACTGGCCTCCACTGAAGGCCTTTGCTCATCGCTCGCCTCTCGCAACGGAGCGACCTTGGTGCGCTGCCCGCTCAGACAGCGAAGTCGGCTCTCAGTTGGCCGCGGAAGCGGCAGGGCAGGTGTCCCCCGCTTTCTGAAAAGTGTTTCCTGAAAATGTAGACAGTAAAACTGCGGCGACCGGAAATTTCACGAAAATCATTCTGGGATGGGAAACGGAGTTCGAACCTGACAATCAACGGCGACAGACCAGGGCACAATGAAGGCTCTGGAACCGGCAGCACAAATTTCCAGACAGAAGAGATAGAACAATGGCCCTGTCGTTTCCAGGGATCACTACCCACTAAGTTTAGAAGGGGCCAACAAACACAGACACCAACGTCGAATCCCATGAGCAGATGCGAACATGTTAGCCAATTTGGACCTCAAGCTGTTTGTGTCCACCCATATGTGATGTGCAACCGGTGTGAGGCAATCTACGTTGTGCAGTAGATGTGGTGTAGTATATGCTGTGCAACATATGTTGGACAACCCATGTTGTGCAATATAGTTGGTCGGTCTATACATGTTGTGCAAGCGTGAGCAAGCTATGCTGTGCCATCGACGTTTCTGGAGTCTGAGTGGTGTACCCTATGTGGTGCATTTTATGGTCGACCGCAGTTTGTTGTCAACTCTACTGTTCGCGCAATCATCCCACCTACCCACCTGCGACTTGGCTTGCAAAAGCCATGCGGCGGTGACTGCGATGACTCCTTACTTCGCGCTGGCTGGCGCACCGCCGCGGCCGCGCCAGCGCGCGCAGACTCGCACGCAGAGCGGACAGCTAGTCTTGCGCGACCGACGCGGCCGCGGTGGCGCTGACCCCTGGGGAGTTCCCAGCGCATCTCGCAAGCCGCGCTGGCGCGCGGTGCGGGCATATCCGTGCGAGTCGGTGACTCGGGCGGGCGCGGTATCTGTGCGTCGTCGTCAGCGGCAGAAGCGATGATGATACTAGCAATGCTGGTGACAATGATGACGATGACGCCGACAAAGCGTATGGCGGCGCCCATGCTGGTCACCCCGATGACGATGCTGGTGTCCAGGTGTCGCCGATGATGATTTTAAAAGAATTTCGACATGTGCGCGAGTCCGACGCGCGCGAGTGCCCCGCATGGTTATATTTGATATGAATCCAGGCAAACGTGCAAAGGCGTCCGAATGATTTTGGCATGCGCGCGCGAGAGTGTCGCGCGGTGTACGTCACGGATATTGAGAGTACTTGTGGTTTTCTCAAGATTTCGTGAGAGCGCAAGCACATTGTTCAAGCAACGCGTTGCAGCACAAATGGTTGTTTAATCTGCATTCGAGACCCAAGACCCTGACTCCATAAGAAACCTTGAGGGTTTCAAGGCTGGCGACATGCGCGCGCGACGACGCGCGCGTGCCACCATTTGTTGCAAAGTATTCGGGGCAATCCACGGTTCTTGATTATTTATCAGGGATGAGTGGGGGGGGGCGGTCAGCGGATTCCGTGGGATGTTACCATTTCATATTTGGAATGAACGATAGGGGGGGTGTACATCCTTTTTAGAAGGGAACATTGGCATGGTGCAGTATATGTTGTGTGCTCTACGTTGTGCAATTTAGGCGGCGGCGGGGCGGCGACGGCGACAACATAGCCGCCAAGTCAGGTGTCAGGCCCAGACGACGGTGGCGACAGGGCGGCGACGGCGACACCATAGCCGCCAGACAGACGGTCAGGCCCAGGCGACGGGAGCGGCGACGAGGTGACGATGGCTACGACAGAGCCGCCAGACTGGCAGTCAGGCCCAGATCCTTTGAACAGAACTCGGAACCCCTAGTGCAACCATTGTTTTTTCAGACAGGATTAGGGCGAGGGTCAATCCGTCCAAGAGCGTTCAGGAACGCTCTCCGAGCGTTCTGGAAAACTCTGAGAAGGCCTCGGCGCCCGAGACATACTCTAGAGTCGCGGCGCCCGATATCCTCAGTGTATCTTCACCTGATATTATCCGCGTCCTGGCTTCGTTCTGTTTTGGGAGAGCACGGGAAGTGGAGGGGAAGACGAGAATCCAGAACATCGGTGAACAGATGGGGAATCTTTTAGCGGGCGAAGAACTGTATATTATTTTCTCCGCCGTCGGGTACGCCTTCCCCCCCAGGCAGCTGGAAAGTTAATACCCCTGCATGTCGCCGTGGGGGTATAAACTTTGCAGCCGACTGCCGGGCAGGTGTCACCGACGGTGGACAAGTTTATATTATACCGTTCTTCGCACCTTTAATCATGGAATTGGTGCACGTTTGTTTGTGCCTCCCTGGGCCTTTGGATGCGACCCACCTCTTCTCTTGCCGTGTCCCGTCTTTGTCACGTCGGTAAGATCGATTGATTTGGACCGATGGTGGGATCACATCGCAGCGCAGCATCGTCACCACGCGCCGTCGCCAATTCGAGGGCTCATCACCAACATCGTCATCATCATCATCACAGCCATCGCAATTGTCGTCAGATTGTTCTTTCCCCCCACCCGCCAACCTCCTTATAACCCGAAGGGTGGTCGTATAGGAGGAGAAGGGATGATGATGATGATGATGATGATGATGATGATGATGATGATGATGATGATGATGATGATGATGCTGATGCTGATGATGATGATGTTGATGATGATGATGATGATGATGATGATGATGATGATGATGATGATGATGATGATGATGATGATGATGAGAAGGAGGAGGAGGAGGAGGAGGAGGAGGAGGAAGAGGAGTCGGATCGGGTTGCGGCAGGGAGTAGGGGGAGGAGGAGGAGGAGGAGGAAGAGGAGAAGGAGGAGGAGCTGGAGGAGAATAGGAGGAGAGAAGGAGGAGGAGGAGGAGGAGGAGGAGGAGGAGGATGGAGATGGAGGAGGAGGAGGAAGGAGGAGGAGGGAAGAGGAGGATGGAGGAGGAGGAAGAGTAGGAGGAGGGATGAGGATGAGGAGAGGAGGAGGAAGAGGGGGAGGCGGAGGAGGAGGAGTAAGAGAAGATAAGGAGGAGGAGGAGGAGGATGAGGAGGAGGAGGAAGAGGAGAAGGAGGACGGAGGAGGAGGAGGAGGAGGAAGAGGAGGAGGAGGAGGAGGAGAGAAGGAGGAAGGGAGGAGGAGAGGAGGAGAGGAGGAGGAGGAGAGAGGAGGAGGAGGAGGAAGATGGTAGTGTGTCGTCTCTCCCTGGGCCTCTGGGCGAGGTGCCGCCTCTCCCCCCCTCGGCGCGCCCCGAGGCCGCCGCCCCCCCCACCAGGGGATCCTCCCAGCAGCGCCGGCGGCCAGAGGGGGCCGCGGGCGCGCTCCAGCGGATCGGCAAGACGGCCGCGGGATGCGAGGCGCCGGCGGGGGCGGCGAGGGGGAAGTGGCCCCTTCCCCTCCTCCTCCTCCTCCTCCTCTCCTCCTCCTCCTCCTCCTCCTCCTCTCCTCCTCCTCCTCCTCTCCTCCTCCCTCCTCCTCCTCCTCCCCCTCCCCCTCCCCCTCCCCCTCCCCCTTCTCCTCTCCTCGGCGACGGGGCGGCGGGGGCCCCAGTCGAAGAGGAGAAATCGCCATACAGTCGGCCCGGATCAGTAGGTCGGCCCTGCCAGCTCAAGGGTGCCTTTGTGTGTCCTTTGCCTCGCGGCACGTGCCTTTTTACACTCCTATGGCGATGTGGCCCTCGGAAGGGTCTTGTGACCTCTCGCGTGTCCTGTCCAATCAAGGCCGACTGTAAGCACAAACGACTAGCCTGAGTGAACAAGAAAGAACGCCATCTTAGCGTACGTAACGCCTTTCAAAAGAGTAAGACAACACGGGCCAGATTCATCGAATCGACGGAGGCAAAAGGCCATAAACATAGCATAGACTGTTGGCGCTCCGTGCGGATCTCTTGGATCTGTGCTGGGACCCCCCTTGCGGCGCCTGCGGCGCAGCCCCGGGCGCGCTCCTCGCGCCAGGGAGGGGGATCCCAGCGCAGATCCAAGAAGTCCGCGCGAATCGCCAAAAGGTTAATTTAACGGCCTGTTTCTCCTTCCTTTCAACAGTCAGTGGAGGAAAAGGTACCCATACAGCTACCTTTTGGCCGTTTTCCTCGTCTCCGGCCTCCCAGGAGGCCTTCGTCGCCACCGCCAGATTCGCCCCGAAATTTGGGTCAGAACGCACCCCGGGAAAGGCCTGGGGAGCAGCGGTATCGGTACCTTTTGGTTTCCAAAAAGGACTTCTAATTTTTCCGGAGGGGACCTAAGTTAGGAGGGCCGAAAAATACTTGGGATCGGGCGTCTCTTCTGCAGATGTATCAGACCAGCCCGCCCAGAAGTAGGATCCATGATGCGAAGACGGGGACCTGAGCTAGGCTGCGTCTTTGCGTTCGTAGGATTTTGGGTCCTTCTTACTCTCGGTGATTTCGATTCCGATCCGATTCAGCTCGACTTGGATGGCTCCCGATTCCCGCTCGATGCGATTTCTGATTCCGATTCGGGCTTCGGTGTTTGGACGGAGGCCCACCAGTTTGCCAGTGTTGGGGGTTCGGGGGCACCGCTCGGTGTTTTGAGACTCGTGCCGTTCTCCGAGGACGTCTCTAGGGCGAGTGGGGAGCCCCGCTGGCGGTCCGAAGGTCCCCAGACCGTGCGGCGACGGACTGCGCGGTTGAGGTCCCTTGTCATTTCGAGGCCACCACGCGGTCTGTCATCACATTGTTTTGGGACCCTCGAGAGTCGGAGTCGCTCGCGTTCGGTGGGCTCGGCTCGGTCGGCGGTGGCGTCGTTGCCGCGTCGCCGCGTAAGTCTCGGCTGCGTTCGCTCGATTCGGTCTCGGTCGTTCTCGGTTTCGCTGTCGGGTTGGTCGGCCTTCGGGGTTCGTTTTCGCCATCACATCAGTCGCACTCCTGTGCGCTTCAACGGTCGAAAGGGGCCTCCTCGTGCCGTCCTCTGTCGAGTCGAGAGGTTGGCCGACTAAAGCCAATTGTCTATGACCGTATTCCTATTCCAGGAGTCTGCTATCTGCTCCTGCGCGTCCGATCTGCGGTGGTGCATCGGACGCCGCTGCATCGCTTCGTTTTGCTGCAGATCCTGGTCAACGCAGGGTTCACATGTCACCACCTTCCACTATAGAAAGTGTGGGAATGCGCGTGTCAGGTAGCCCTGGGATAAGGATGGACCAATCTGGAGCCCTCAGACTGTTCAAGAGTGGTATGTGGCGGCAGCGGCGCCCGATACATCATCCAGGCCAAGGTTGTCCGTGCGGCACGTGCCCGATGAAGTCTGTATCTGCCCTCGTCACATGGCAGAGGTGTTTAGTTCGTGCTTACTGTGCTAACTGTGTTTAGTTCGCGTTTTCTTTTGAGGGTGCGATGCTGCGTTGCTTCATTTTCATGCGCTCTCGGTGACGTCTGGAGCCACACCCTGCATGAGGGGTTTCAGAGCAGTCTCAAGTTTTGTTTTGCCTACTGCTATGTACGGCGACGCTGGACACCAGACGATTGATCCGGCAATGTAAGTGACCGACGCGCCTGGGGTCCAAGAGATTGTCGCGGACCGACCGCGGGCTGCACCCCTCCTACCGCGGACCGCCTGCCAGTGTTAAAGCCGCCCAGCGAGCGGCCATCGTGTCTGATCATTTGCTTGCGTCTGGCGTCAAATCCCACGTCTCTGAAATGTTTCAGTTTTGCTGGGCGAGTACTTCTGGTATCACGCCCAGTAATCAGTTGCGGCTGGTGCCCCCTCGGAGGTGACCCCCATCAGGGTCTGGGAGGGTTGGTGGAGAAGGCTGGTGGGCCGTCGTTGTGGTCGTTAAATGGGGGTGCGGATCGAACGGAGGAGAGGAGGACCCTGCGAACGTCGCAGCGCCGTCTCGCGCGGGACCCCACCACCCGCCGCCGTTCCACGACAGGTAGTACAAGCAGGCCTTCCCACGTATTCTCTCTACTCTGTCTGCATTCCCAACTGTGCGTCTCAGAGTCCAGCACGCGCTCTCGGCGTTATATAATACTTTTCTCTCTCTCTCTCTCTCTCTCTCTTTTCTGCTCTCTCTCTCTCTCTCTCTCTTTTCTGCTCTCTCTCTCTCTCTCTCCCTTTCCCTACTCCCATCCAGTCTCCCAGCTTTATTTGTGACGTGGCCCCTGGCGATCTCGGCCCCTTCCCGATGCCATCCCAAGCCGTCTTTCCGATGACTCGGCGGGCCAGGAAACGGCCCTTGGAAGACCCGAGATACTGCCCACACCCGGCCGCCTCGCTTTTTTGTTGCTGCGACGCCCGGATGTGCGGGTCTCCGTCTGAAGCCCTAGGTTTTCTAGATGGTGAGCTGGTTTGTTTGCTTCTTTGTTTCCTCAACCCTCCGGGCCATAACTCGCGCGTTATGCCCCCTACCCACCTCTCCCTATCACGTAACGCCCCCCCATCAGTGGCGTCCCCTGCACTGCCGCAGTGCGATTGGCACCACAGTGGGGGGGGCGCTACGTGAAACCCTCTTCTGTTCCCCCCCCCGTGACGCCCCCACTGGCCGCGAGTTAAAAATTCGCTTTGTCCGAAACGACTGGGTCGGAGGATCAAACCGCATCGCCGACGCATCGGCGATGCAGCTCGATGTGGAGCCTGGTTTTCTCCACGTGGGCGGCGCCGACGCGTCGCGGACGTCTCCGAGGCATCGCAGATACATCGCCGCGACGCATCGGCGATGCGGCAAAGTCTTCCAACCGGATCTGCTCGGATCCGATCTGTTACGAAGTGACTCACGGGAGGTTCGATTCAGCATTGGTGTTGGCATGTTGTAGATTCGTGTTCGGGCACGCCTCACGCGTAATCCAGTTTGCTTTTGGGACTCATCCAGCCCGATCTGGCCTAACGGCTCTTCTTCGATCCGGCCCAACAGCCCTCAAGCGCACTTGCGAAAATCTGCCAGGAGTTGCCTCCTGACATTCGGCAGGCCTCGAAGGGTCTGGGCGCACCCCCCCTTGGGCTGGACGACGCCCCTCCGCCAGGGCCCATTCCTCGATACACCGGGCTGCGTGAGCCGATTCAGGCGGGGGTTCTCTGGGGTGTCCTCAGTGGGGAGCGAAGAAAAATGGTGCCTAAAGGAGCCCCTTAGGCCCCCTTGGGCCTTTGTTTTTTATGAAATAAGAAAGAACCGTTCATAGATCACCCCCCGTTGCCGCTCAGGAGGAGGAGGAGGAGCAGGAGGAGCAGGAGGAGCAGGATGAGGAGGAGGACGAGGAGGAGGAGGAGGGAAGCCGTGCCGCACCCTGCCCTGTGTGGCCCACCTGTCCGTGTCGCGGCGCCGCCCCCCCCCCCGCCCGCGCCGCGACAGCCGAAGATATGCGAGAAAGGCTGGAGCCCCCCCCTGCGCGGCGCTGCCGCCTTACTTTTGCGGGCGGGTAGAGCAGCGGGGCGGCAACGAACGCTCGTTCAGCACAGTGATGAGCACAGTGTCCTCGTGGCCTAACAGAGGTCCTCGGTGGTCGGTGCCGCCCCCAAGCGTGTGGGAGGTTTCGTCTGTGGGAGCTGCTGGAACAAAAACTATTCATGATGCTCATGGCCTTCGTAACGTAGGTCCCCTCCCCAAATATTTGGAGTCATTTTGTTGCTGATCAGGTTTGACCGCAAGTCATGGGAGCCGGTGTGACCTCGTTGTGACGCATTCGGAGTTCGGAGCGCATTCGCGTCGTTTATCGTCGGGTTATCGATGAGGCGTCGGTTGGCGTCGATTGAGTGTCGAGCTAGCCTCGATCAGCGTCGACTCGCAAGAGCCAACCAGATCGTACGGGAGGCTCCCAGGAGTTGCCGCAGACTGGGGGCATCGAGGATAGCAGGAACGTGGCTTCAAAGGGGCCCTGGATGGGCAACCCTCCCAAGGGTACACCCTGGCATCCTCGGACCTCCTTGGTCCACCCTTCGCCGCTTTCGCCTGCCGCGCCTCGCCCGAAAAGTCTCGAAGTGGGCGTCCGAGGCCCCGGCATCCTCATCGCGCATCCTCGCTATGCTGGTGGACTGCAGCTGCCAGCGCGGGTCCAACAGGTCCACAAAGGTGTCACGCTTCTCCGCCCCGCTTTTACTACCCCCCCTGTGGACTCAGGAGGGGACAAAAAACACACAGACAATGAATCGTCGATTCCCCAGAAAATATGGTAACATATGGGCAGTGTGGGGGAAGACAAACACCGAAAGGATATGGAAACATATGGGGAATCCTGTTAGTTGTGTCTATTTATTCATGTGTCCCAGGCCCCTTCATTTATTACCCCCCCTGTGTTGCGCAACGAGCACCCGGCCTTTGCCGAGGGCCCTCCAGGCGCGGGCGGGATCGGGAGAGGCTGGGGCTGCGAGGTTCGGGGGCGTCCTCCACGGGGGGGCCGATGACGAGGGGGGCGGTTCATGGCTGGGGCCATGATGCTTGATGATTCTCCCCTCCTGGTCTTTCGGGGGTGGATAGACCTCCTACCCTGGCACGTCGATCCGCGAACTGACCGTTTTCGGTTTGCGAGAGGCCGTCGCGGCCGTCATGTTTGCAGGTCCAGGTCCGTCAGTTTCGGTCCTAAGCCGTTTTTACTAAAGGGAGGCTTACTAAAGGGAGGTTTGTCCACCGCCGGATCTTCCAACGCACTCCCGTGGCACACCCTCGTCCGCGCACGGTGCCACGGGCTGTGGTGTTGGTCCCCCTTTCGTCTTCCTGGCCCCTTTTTTGTGCTTGGCGTACCCGCGAGGGGGGGGGAGCAGGGAGGAGGGGAGGGAGAGGGGAGGAGGGAGGAGGGGAGGGAGGAGGGGAGGAGGGGGAGGAGGGGAGGGGGAGGGAGGGGGAGAGACCACCTGGCTTCGTCACCGAGCCGCACTTGGCGGAGGGCGGGGGAATGAGGAGTGCGAGAAGGGGAGGGGGGGGAAGGGGGGAGGTGTGGAGGGAGGGGGGGGAGGAGGGAGGGGTCAGGGGGGGATGTGGGGGGGTGCGGGAGAGGGGAGGATGGGGGCGGGGGGAGGGGGGGGGGGGGGGCACGGATGGCAGAGGGGAGGGGCGGGGGGGGAGTGGGAGGAGGAGAGGGGCAAAGAGGGTCATGAAGAGGGTAGGGAGGAGTGTGGACCGCGGCTGGGGCCGACGTCCAGGAGGAGGGAAAGGCGGATGGAGGAGGGAGGGGGGAGCGAGGGAGGAGGGAAAGAGAGAGATGAGGGGACATGAGGCGTCGGCAAAGAGGAGGGATGGGGATGATGAGGGGGGTTGCAGGGGCGAGAAAAGGCAGGAGAGTGTGGGGAGGAGCCGGGAGCAGGGGGCGAGGAGGGAGGAGCGGGGGGAGTCGGGCGGGTGGCAAGGGGGGGTGACCCAAAGGGGGGGGTGAAGAACGGGGCCCTAACGTGGCCCTTTAGGTCCCATTTGGAGCCACCACGGGCCCAACGGCGGACCTAAAGGGTCACCTCAGGGTCCCTTTCTTCACCCCCCCGAGGAAGTAACGGCCCGTTACCACCCGCCCGAGGGAGGTTTGAGGATTGTCTCCTCCCTGGAGACGGTCTCTTATCCCCTGGCGACGAACGGCGTGATCAGGGGGAGGGGCGGAGGGGACCGATCACCTCACAATTCGCCCTGGCGCCGTCTAGGAGCGCCCAGGTATGTCTAGTGCCTACACGGCGCCAGCGCGAATTGCGACGTGACCCAGGGAGTGGGGGGCTGGTCACGGGCGTTACCGCGAATGATGCAATTATTGGGTCATGGGGGTGTTGGTTTCGTCTTCTCACTTCCCCCCCTCGCTCGCCGCCGACAAAAGCATCAGCGTTCTGAGCTCCTCTTAAGTTGGGCCTGTTCCCCTACAGGGGGAATATGCAAAAACAGTCAAGAAGAGTCTGGGGACTATGTTTTAGTGTTTCCTTTGACCATTTCGGGGCTTGTTTTCCGTATTTTTTATTTCTCGTCGAACATCCCTTTGTAGGGGGACAGGCCCGATTTAAATTTCTTCCCCATGCAGCCATCCGCAGCTCCCGACCGCAGTCCTGGCAGCAACGCGGGGGGGGGGGAGGGGGAGGAGGCGGAGGATGAGGAGGAAGGGGAGGAGGAGGGGAAGGAGGAGGAGGAGGAGGAGGAGGAGGAGGAGGAGGAGGAAAGCGGGAGGAAGAGGAGAGGGGCAATGGGGAGGGAGGGAGGAGAGGAAGGAGACGCGAGGAGGAGGAGGAGGAGGAGGAGGAGCAGGAGGAGGTGGAGGAGGGGGGGGCAGGAGAGCTGAGGATAGATGGCCGTTCTTGGTGTTTCCCTGGCGATGTGAGCCCGCCCTCCCTCCCCGGACAGAGTGGGGGTCAAGTCCAGGCAGATCGAGGCAGATCCGCGTATGTCGAGGTCTTTGCTGGCCTTCGGTACATCGTCCATCCCTCACGACGATCGAGATGGGTACGGTAGGCTCGCGTCGTGTCCACCTGTGGCGACTCTGCCGCGGGCGTGCAAGGTTGAACGCCGCCAGTGGAACAGCAGCGTCCTGCGTGGAACGATCTAATTTGGCGATCGAATACCTGCCGATCGCCCAAAGGTTGAACGATCCACGGGGTGTCAGAAACCCACGCCAGTATCGCCACGACACGAACCTGCAGTGCGGAAGCAACGGGTGCAAAGTTCAACAGCAATTTCTGTCCATTCGGATCAGGGTTCGCTGCCGTCGTCGCCGCGGTCGCTGTCTCTTTGAGGCAGAAGGCCGCCTGCCCGATTTCGGCCGCTGTCGTCTTTGGACAGCATTTGTTGTTGGGCATCGTACCCTTTTTTCGGACGCATCTCGGGCGTCCACAATCCCGCCACCGCTCAGGAGGGAGAGGTAGACGCAGGCGCAAAGAAGCGCCAATTTCCGAGACGGCATGGGAAACTATGGGACACGGCGGTGAGGGCGAGAGTCAGAGCAAAAAGACGGGGGAATCATGGACGGCGTGTGTATCTGTGTGTGTATCTGTGTGTGTGTGTCTCCCTTGGCTCCTCTCTCCACGCCTGGGCTGTAGGTCGGAGGCCTCCCGGGGGCTTCCTTGGCCCGCTCTGGGGCGCCCGCTCAGGGCCCCGAAGGAGACTCCCGCGGGCAGCGCCGGGGGGACCCCGCAGGAGGCACGCCGGGGACATTCTGAGGAAATTGACGGGTTTTCCGGGTCCAGGCTCCTCGACGCGGGACGGCCGACGTGGGTAGGGAAAGAAGGGGGCACGGTACCCAACAGCAGTTTTTGCTCATTCTGGGCACGACTCGCGCTCTGCGCCGCTGCGGACGTCATTCAGTCGCCTGCCCAACAGCGGCCGCTGTCTTCTGGTGTTTGACAACATTTGTTGTTGGGCATTGTACCCATTTGTCCGTACCCAGTTCGGGTGCATCGACCCCCAATCTCCCATTGATCGCCCATAGGGGCCCGACGGCCCCGCCCCGCCCAGCAAGGTGCGGACCCACCATCGGGGGCCTGTCGCCGACCTATCGGCGACGTGTCGCCGATTCCAGGTCGATACATCCCCCCCTGCGCCTATCCCCACCCCCTACTTATCCTTGCCCCTCAACCCCCTTCCCCCCCCCCCCCCCCCCCGAGGTTGCCCCTCAACCTCCTTCCCCCCCCGTTACAGTGGGGGCTCCTTCCAAGAAACCATCAGCTTCTCTCCAGGTGCCCTGGGTTTTTGGATTCCGATGGAGGCACGATGGAAAACGTGGCGCTCGCACGCCTGAGAACCGGTGGGCGTCCTCGGGCTTCAGGGTTAGCGTTCGTGCAGAGGTTTCTTGCAGAGGTTTCTTGTGGCCGAGCCCCGACTGCATCCTTGCCCCTCCACCTCCTTCGCCCCCCCCCCCCCCCGAGGATGCCCCTTGCCCGCGCGCCCCCGCGCGAGGAAGCGGCGGCGGGCTGCTCCTGCCGCTCTTCGGCGACTGGGAGCAGGCGGCCAGCCGCCCTGCCCGGCCGCGGGCGGCCTCCTTCTGCTCCTCCTCCTCCTCCTCCTCCTCCTCCTCCTCCTCCTCCTCCTCCTCCTCCCTCCTCCTCGTCCTCCTCCTCCTCCGCCTCCTCCCCCCTCTCCATCCCATTCTCTCCTCTTCCCTCTCTCCCCTGTTCCTCCTTCTCCTCCTCCTTCGCCTCCTCCTCCTCGTCCGCCTCCGCCTCCGCCTTCCTCTCCATCCCATTCTCTCCTCCTCCCTCTCTCTCTCCCCTGTTCCTACCCCCCTCCTCCTCCTTTCTCTCCTCCTCCTCCGCCTCCGCCTCCGCCTCCGCCTTCCTCTCCATCCCATTCTCTCCTCTTCCCTCTTTTCCTCCCCTGTTTCCTCCTCCTCCTCCCTCCTCCTCCTCCTCCTCCTCCGCCTCCGCCTCCGCCTCCGCCTCCGCCTCCGCCTCCTCCCTCCTCTCCATCCCACTCTCTCCTCTTCCCTCTTTCTCCCCTGTTCCTCCTCCTCCTCCTCCTCCTTCTCCTCCTTCCCCCCCAGGTCGACGCTCTCGTGCTGCCGACTGGATCCACTTCCATGTCCAGCTGCCCTCGACAACGGGGTATCCTGCAAGGCCTCCTAGATTGGGGTCGGAGCGGATGGGGTGGAAGGATCTCGCCGCATCGCTTATACATCGCCGATGCGGCTCGATGCTGCTTGTCATCTTTTTCTGGAAAATAATAATTTCCCCAGTGCGACCCTACCTAGAGGTTGGAGCCCCTAGGAAAGCAGCATTAGTTGCTGTGCTGCGCTGCGCTATGCTATGCTATGCTATGCTATGCTGCGCTATGCTATGCTATGCTGGGCTATGATATGATATGCTGCGCTATGCGATGCTACGCTATGCTATGCTCTGCTGTGCTCTGCTATGCTAAAGCTCAGCGATGCTAAGATGAAGGTAAGCTAAGCAAAAACAAACCTGAGCTAAGATGAAGCTAAGCTCAGGTAATATGAAATAAGCTGAGCTAAGATGAGATAAGCAACGCTCAGCTAAGGGGACGTAACTGGGGGAACCGCGGGGCGGATGCCGGGGGAACCGCCCGGAGTGGGTTCCACTGCCCGGTCTCTTTAAGCTTACACAGTAAGAACCCTTCTAGGCAGAGCCTAGGTAGGGAATGATAACAACAACAACAACAACAACAACAACAACAACACCAACAACAACAGCAACAGCAACAGCAACAGCAACAGCAACAGCAACGCAGACATACACTTCTGGCACTCCGCGCCTATTTCTTGGATCCGCGCTGGACCCCCCTTGGCGGCGCCTCCGGCGCCGCCCCTGGCGCGCGGAGGTCCAGCGCGGATCCAAGAAATCCGCGGGGAGCTTAGGTTTATGGCGTTTCTGTTCGTTGTTTTCTGGCCCTCTTCTTCGCCGCGGAGTGCCCTCGGGCGGCCTCACCCGTTCGCCGTGGGGCAGGCCCCTCGGGGCAGCTCGGCGTGGATGGTGGCGCCCCCCCCCCCCCCCCCCAGGGGTCCCAGGGCGGCGGCGATGCCCGAGCCCTGCCCTCGCCGACCAAAGGTCGGCCACGCGCAGAGGGGGGCCCAGTGGTTCGATGTCTGTCCATGGGAGCCTCGGGCGGCGACACTGCAATCCGCTCTTCCTGCACTTGGACCGCGTGGGGACCGCATTGGGCCCATCCTCCTGCTCCTCCTCTCCCCTCCTGTTCCCCCTCCTTCTCCTCTCCCCTCCTGTTCCCCCTCCTTCTCCTCGTTGTTCCAGTCCCCGCGGATCCAGTCCAAATCTGGTCCAAATCCTATCCAAAGTTGTTTCAAATCCGGTCCAAATCCGGCCCAAATCGGACAGCGCTGGGGGCCACGCGGGCCCCCATGGGGGGGGGAGGGGCGAAGAATCTCAGGGGCTCCCCTGCCTCGCAGAGGGCGCGGGCCTGGTCTGTGGACGTGGGGCCGGCGCCCTCCCAGAAGCAGCCTCAGTCGGGAGCCTTGAGACGGGGGTCAATGCAAATGGGGGTCAGCCAGAGCGCCCGATCTTGCAGTATCCTGCAGGGACAGGGTCGCATTGACCCGGGTTTGGGTGCTGGATCCTGCAGGATTTCGAAGGGTCCTTCGCATTGACCCAGGTTTGGGTGCAGGATCTTGCAGGATTCTGCAAGGCCTGACTGACCCGGGTCTGGATTGACCCGGGTCAGAAGATCCCCGAGCTTCCCTCGAAGAACTTTCCCCCCTTCCCCCTACCCCCCCGCGTGCGCGCCAACGATCGGCGCCACAATCCGAGCCCTCGCCCTTGTTGATCAAAAGTGCAGGCAGCTCGACGGCTGGATTAATCCGTCGGAGACATGGCGACATCCGAATCCTGCTCCCGCATCCCGTCGATTGTCCAGGAGAATCGGACCCTCTCGCGTCGTGTCAGTGTTCTGTTATTTTCTGCCTCTGGGGGCCCTGTCTGGCCCCCCTCGTGCCGTCAGCAACGTCTGACGACCCCTACCTGTGCCGGGTTGGGAATGAAACAGTATTCGGTGCTGCTTCTCTTCTGCCGAAGGTTCGGCGTACCCTTCACACGGCTGTGGCCCCCGCAGTGCGCTCTCCTTTTGGCCCCAGCGAGCGCGTCCGCGTGCGGGCCTCCGCCCGTGCTTACGCACCCCTCACGTGGAGCGTGCCTCGCACGGATCTCTCCCCGCGGCCCACAGTGGGCGGGTCCGCACGCGGGCCACCGTCAATCGGGGCGGACATCTCACGCGGATCGTGCCCCAGAAGGGGACTGGGCATAAAAACAGCCCGAACCTTTCTGGGGGAGGACCTTAGTTAGGAGGGCCACGAACATTGGAGATAGGGTGTCGTTCTTCCGCAGGTGTATCGCACCAAACCGCCCCGATGCCCTGTCCCTGATGCGAAGATGGGGACCTCAGTGAGGCCTCGTCCGCATTGTGCTATTAGGGTCAGGGGTTCTTCTCTATCCTCATTGAGTAGGGGACTACTACCAGGGTCCCACTGGTCAGGAAGGGAAACAACACACAGACACAATGAATCGTCGACTCCCAGGAAACTATGGGAAACTATAGGAAGGGGGGGAAGACGAAAACCCTCAAATATATGAAAAGATGGGGAATGCTGTTCCTTGTGTGTACTTGTTTGTGCGTCCGTGGGCCCCTTCAACTGGGCGTCCTCGCGGGCGGCCTCCGCCCACTGCGGCACGCTCCCCGCGCGGGGTGGGGTCGTGCCCCACAGGGGGTGCTCCGCGCGCCTCCGCGTGCCTGCTCCGCAGCCCCATTGGTCCGCCCTGCCCCGGGCCGCGTGCCCCCCCCCCCCCCCCACGTGGCGCGCAGGAGACGTCGAGGGCGGCCCAAGAGGGGGGTGACGACCAGGGAGAGGTGGGGTTCATGGCGGGGCCATGGTTCGGTGATGACTAAGGTGGAGGTGGACTTCATGGCAGGGCCATGATTCGGAAACTGGCACACATGCATTACGAGTGGCGGGCCGTTCTTCAATCCCAGGACTTCTTGAAGGTCGAGGACGACGCTGGGGTGGTGTGATGTATTATTATTTTCCCCGATGTTCCGTGGAAGCAGCGACACACACACACACATATATCTATATATATATATATACTTATATACACCAGGGTCCTGTATACACCAGGATCCGTTCTCCAGGGCAATTGCCAGTGCAGGGCCAGAAGAGGCGTCGGTGTATAGAGCTCGATTCCTTAATGATATCTCTCAAGATTCGCCTCTTCGTATTTCAACACGCCCCCGGCCCCCCGCATGGGCCGCGCACGTGCCACCGGCCTTGATTCGCGCCACGCGCAGCTGCGCAGATTGGGCCCTTCGCCAGGCGGGTTTCGCACCGCATGCCCTCTGCCTGGCCTCCGCTGGGTCATTCCTCCTCTTCCCTCTTCGCTCCTGTTCCTGCTCCTCCTCCTCCTCCTCCTCCTCCTCCTCTCCCGCCTTGGGGACGCTCGGCCTCCTCCTGTCCCGCCTCCTAAGGGTCTCACCCAGTCCACCCGCCAATCGTTTCATCCTCTCGTATCTTCCCTGGCATACACTTCGCCTCTCTCGTGACTTACAGTTGCCCAGGCATTATGTGTATGATGTAAGACCTTGCCACATACAACTGTATACCGCGTGCGGTGAGCTCCAGCGGGGGCCCGAGTGGTCACGTCGTGGCGACGCAGGATCATATCTTAGGATCTGCGCATGCGACCAGTTTCGTCGGAACCTTGAAAACCCTGGACAAGGCACAGAGGTTTACCCAACCATCCACTCGCGTGCCCTGGTGGCGATGCATCTTTACAGTCTTCGATCTTCGAGCCTGGCCACCCCTTGATCCTCGAATCTGGATCCACGAACCTCCATCCCCGAATCTCGATGCTCGACCTCCGATCTTCGACCTCCGATCCTCGAAGATCGAAGACTAGATCTCGATACACGAACCTCGATCGTCGAGTCCCGATCCTCGGTCCGGGTTCCTCGAATCTTGATGATCGAGCCTCCAATCTCGGAGCTCGCCCCTCCAATCTTGATCCTCGGTCCTCGAACCTCGATCGTCGAACCCTGGTCCTCGATAATCCATCCTCCATCCTCGATCCCACATCCTCCCTCCCTCCCCTCATCGGAGAGGTTCCCTCACTTCCGCGGCGCCGCTGATTTCGCGGCCGCCGCCCCCAGGAGTGGCCCAGAGGGCTCAGGATCGTCCTCTACCTCATGGGGCGCGCCCCGGGGGAGGTTTGAGGAGGATTGCAGGAGGAGGAGGAGAAGGGGGAGGAGGAGGAGGAGGAGGAGGAGGAGGAGGAGGAGGAGGAGGAGGAGGAGGAGGAGGAGGAGGAGGAGGAGGAGGCGGAGGAGGAGGGGGAGGGGGAGGGGGAGGAGGAGGGGGAGGAGGAGGAGGAGGAGGAGGAGGAGGAGGAGGGAGGAGGAGGAGGAGGAGGAAGGAGGAGGAGTTGGGGGAGGGGGAGGGAGAGGAGGAGGAGGAGGAGGAGGAGGAGGAGGAGGAGGAGGAGGCCAAGCCCACTCGGGGACGACGTGCCGACAGATCTCACGTCCGGCCATGGCCCATGGACCGACCCTGCCGCACTCCTCCGTCGGGACCCCGTGTATCGAGGAGGCGCAGAAGCGTGGACCGAGGCTTAAGTCGGGCCTGTCCCTCTACAGGGGGAATATTCAACAATATTCAGAACATAGTCTGGGTACTTTTTTGTGCGTATTTTGTAACCATTTTGGGGTACGGTTGGAAACACAATTATTTGTCGCCGAAAATCCCCCTGCAGGGGGACACGCCCGTCTTAAACCGAGGCGCGTGGATCAGCGACGGACTGTCCCGCTTCCTCATCGGATGGACACGCTCCGTCGCCAGATCGGGCGGCATTAGCGTAACATGCTTCTCGCCCTGCTCCGCGGATCTGGCGCCTATGTGCGCCAGGCCCTCGGATCTGTGTCGGCGCGTGCTGGAGGCAGTCTGTTCCGGGCCGTCTCGGCATGGCTGCAGGCTGTCTCGGGGGCCCCCAAACGGGGCGGTGACCACACCGTGCGGTGAGTCGGTGGGGATTCGGGGACTCGGGTCGTTCTCCGAGGACGTCTCGGGCGACAGTGTCCTCCAGGGTCCCAAGACCGTGCGGTGACGGACCGTGCGGTGAGGTCTTGGGGGATTTTGAGGTCACCGCACGGTCTGTCACCGCACCGCTTCGGGACTCCAAGCTTTGCCTGGGGGCAGCGAGTGCCGAGAGTCGAGCTCGTCGGGAGGAGGAGCTCGTCCCGTGGACGAGGTCGAGATCTGTGGCTTCGCAGGCCCAGGCCACGGCAACAGAGGGCGCCGTCGGGGGAGGGGCCTCTCCCGTGCTCTCTCCCCCGCCGCCGCCGCTGCCTCCTCTGCGCGCTCTCTTCGCCGTCCCGCCAGTCCCTCTCCGTGCCCCAGGGGCAGCGTCGATCCGCGTCGATGCACATCTGGTAGTCGATGCGACAGCGCCGATTCAGCGTCGGTTAGCGTCGATTTAGCGCCGATGAGCGTCGAATCGCAAGAGCCGACAAGACGGTACGGGAGGCTCCCATGAGTGGCCACCGACATTTTGCTGCAGCGGCTTTCGATGGCCGTGCCGCTCTTCCCTTGCCCCAGGGGCAGCGCCACGGGGGGATCAGCTCAGGGGGGGGGGGGCGCATCGACCCACGGTCGCCTACTTCATTGCCTCTGGCATGATTAACCAGAAAAAGACCCCTAACCCTTCTGGGGAGAAGCAAAGTCAGGAGGGCCAGAAAGAGAAAGACCAGCCGGTCTCTTTGCAGGTGCATCGGACCAAACCGCCCAGCATTCTTATCCCTGATGCCTTGACGGGGACCTCAGTGAGGCCACGTCTTCACTGTGTTATTAGGGTTGAGGGGGTTAGAAGAGAAATGGCATAAGCATAACCTTTCGACGGTCCGCGGGGATTTCTTGGATCCAAGCCCCCCTCCCTGGCGCGCGGAGCGCGCCAGGGGCGGCGCCAGAGGCGCCGCCGGTCAGGCCCAACGCGGATCCAGGAAAGCCGCGCGGAACTTTGAAAGGTTCTGTTCACGGCTTTTTTTTCCGACTCAGTGAGGTCACGTCTTCATTGTGTTTTTAGGGTTACGGGTTCTGTTGTTCTCCATGAATTTTCTCCTCTGGCAGACGCCGAGTGAGCTCAGAGATGACCCGTGGGGTAAGAAGCCGACACGCTCTGCTTGTGACAGAGCGTGAATTACCTACCCCGCTTTCGCTTCCAGGCAGGACCAAGTCATACCACGCGCCTCCTCGTCAAGCGGCCTGACCAGTACAGGCCGTAGTTCGGCATCGCTTGGTATCTCTTGGAAGCGAGGGTGGTCAAAAGCGAGGCAGGTTTGTTTTCCCCCTATTGTGGGGAATCAAAAGCTGCCGATACCGCTACCCCCCTCGGACCTCTCCCAGGGTGCGTTCTGACCAGGATCTCGAGGCGAATCCAGCGGTGGCGGCGAGGGCCTCCAAGGAGGCCCCCAAGAAAGGGAGAACGGGCGAGGGGGTAGCGGTATGGGTGCCTTGTTGTCCTCCTCTGGCGGACGCCGAGTGAGCTCAGGACAAGTGTGATAAAAACACACAAGTGTGATGAACCACAAGTGTGATAAGTGTGACGAAAACAAGTGTGACAAAAAGTGTGACAACAAGCGTGATCAAACAAGTGTTATGTATCACGCTTGTTTATCACAATTGCCTTTTATTCCAGTTGTTGTTTATCACACTTCATCGCATTTTTACCACACTTGCGTGATCCCTGGGGGTCAGAAGCCGGCAGCGCTCGGCCGGGGGCTGCCTTGGGGAGGCCCGGCCGTTCTCGCCTTCCCGGGGCTCCGCAGGAAGCCCCCTCCTCTCAGAGGCCCCCCCCCCTGGCAGGCCTCTGCGGAGGTCCCCATAGAGCAGCTCCCAGGGAGCGGCCAGAACCCTCGAGCCTCCAGCCTCCTCGAGCCTCAAGCCTCCTCCTCCGCCTCCTTCCTCCTCCTCCGCCTCCTCATCCTCCTCCTCCTCCTCCTCCTCCTCCTCCTCCTCCTCCTCCTCCTCCTCCTCCTCCTCCTCCTCCTCTTACTTCACTCCCGTCTCCAACTCATCCTACCTAGACAGGGTGGCCAGCTTCCTTGTGTTGTCGTGGTCCGGTGGCCGTTTGCTGGCACTCGGACGGTCAAGCTGGAGTTGTGGCCATCGCCGTTGTGGGTATCGCCTTCGGTGGGTATCTCCTTATGGGACCACGAAGCGCGTGAAGGGTGTACCGAGATGCTTGGACGCATGCAGGCGCAGCCATGGTGGGGCTCCCTATCGGGCCACGCAGCGCGTGAGGGTTGCGCCCAGCTGGGCGGGCGGGGGGGGCGCAGGGCGCACGTGATCACTGCCAGTGTGGCCTTCCGTGGAGCTCCCTTTCCTATGAGGCCGCGAAGCGCTGTGTTGGGTGGCGCGGGGCGCACGTGATCGCAGCCACTGGGGCTTTCGGGGGAGATCCCTATGGGGCCAAAAGTTACCGTACTTGGTGGCGCGGGACGCGTGTGACCGCAGCCAGTGGGGCCTTCGGTGGAGTTCCCTATGAGTCCACGCATCGCCGTACTGGGTGGCGCGGGACGCACGTGATCAAAGCCAGTGGGGCCCTCGGTGGAGCTCCCTATCGGGCCACGAAACGCCGCATTGAGTGGCGCGGAACGCATGTGATCACAGCCAGTGGGGCCTTCGGTGGAGCTCCGTATGGTGCCACGACGCGCCGTACTGGGTGGCGCGAGACGCATGTGATCACAGCCAGTGGAGCCTTCTGTGGAGCTCTCTATGGGACCACGAAGCGCGGTATTGGGTGGCGCAGGGCGCATGTGATCACAGCCATTGAGGCTTTCGGTGGAGCTCCCTATGGGGCCAAGAAGCGCCGTGCTGGGTGCGTTGGAATGGTGGTCATGCAGAGGGTAGAGGCAAGGGTGGGAGAATGGGGAGGAGGAAGCAGGAGAGGAGAGTAGAGGCGAGGAGAGGAGACCCGGGGCGCCGTCTCTTCATCACGGACACCCACCACCACAGGACTGTTGGGAACAATAGTCCGTGGGAAGAGGTCCAGATCCCCACAAGGCCTGCGTCGCGAACCAACGTCGTCGTCGGAAAGGTGGGTGGGGCGGAGAGGGACGCGGAGGGTGAGGCCAGTCGATGCTGCTGGGCTCTCGGGGGGACTCGCCGCCACGGTCAGGCTCGCCTTTTCGAAGTTCTGGCCAGGGCGCGCTCCAAGACTGCAGTCAACCCGCGCAGTAAGGATGGGCAGCCTTCTCAGGGGTACCCTCGCATCCTTGCCTCCACGGTCCATCCTTGGCCACTTTCGTTGGCCGCGCCCTGCTCGAACAAACTTCACAATGGGCGTTCAAGGCCCTTGCACCCTTCTCGCGCAGCCTTGCTATACTGGTTGACTGCAGTTCCGAGGCCGCTTCTGAGGAGGGGAGGCAGGGCCGCCCAGGATTCGAGGCGCGTTCGTTCTGACTGGTGGCATGGGCCGGGGCCGACCTGAGCCAGGCGCGGAGATCCGATTTCGAATCTCGATGGGGGACGGTTCGATGGCGACCCGATCTGGTTCCGATCCGATGCGATGTCGCGGTTCGATCCAGCTCAGGCACGGGAGGAGAAGGAATTGCTGGTGGGCTTTCTCCAGCCTCCTCGTTGCCCAGCAAGGCTGGTATGGCTGTTCATGGGGGTTGCCATCGTTAGCGACGTCTTCATGGCGGCCATCGAGAAGATCACCTCCAAGAAGAGATTGGTCATGCAGCACCCCCGACGCGGCACGCGTGTTGGTGCGTTTTGTACGCGAGGCAGTAGACGTTTGGGTCTTGTGCTAAGTCACGGAAGACGGAGGAGGGAGGAGAAGCTAGGGATGGGGGTGAGGATGAGGAGGACAAGGAGGTGGTTTGTGAGGACGAAAGGGGTGCTGAAATGCCTGTATTGACATCGGACTGGTGCGTTGGCTTTGGGCTCTGGTCAGTATTTTGATATCGGCCTGCGCCTAGAAGCTGCACTTTGGGCAGCACGAGCCCCCTCTAGATTCCAATGCGCTGTTGGTGTAATTCCCTTGGTGGGCACAGGCATCCTGGTCTGATCACGTCTCCTCCGCAGTCCACCCAGCAATGAGTCCCATCATCCTTCCTGAACTGCGCGCCCCCTCGGCGGCCGGAATGGCAACATTCACCCTGCGAAGGACCCAACCCTATGGCTCCGTCTTCGGTGGCCCATGGGGCCCCGAAGCGCGTGAGCGGAGTGCCGCGATGAGGGGGGGGGGCATGCGGGCGGTGGCACCGGGGCGCCAGCATGCCTGCAGCCCTCCACCCCGCGCGAGGCCCCCCCCTCGGGCCGCCGCGCCCGCGCGCACCCAGTGGGTGGCAGTTGGTGGGCCCGGGCGGGGCTTGGGCCGAAAATCATCGGGTGCTGCTAGAAGTGTTCCTTCCCCAAGGTGCCCCCAGGATTCCCCGGGAGGCCCCCACGGCCTCCAGGAGCACCCCAAACGAGGCCCAGAGGGGCCCCAGGGGCTTTCAAATGGAGCGGAACGCGGGGGGCGCCTGGGGCCAGGGGCACCTCCAGCAACCCCCGAACGCAAGCGGCGGGGAACGTCTGCTCCTTGCTGCCCGCTGCTGCGCTCTCGTGCTCGCTGCTCGGAGACCAAGCAGCGGCTCGAGCATGATGTTTGGGAGCTCCGCACGGGTCCGTTGGAGGCGCCTCCGTCTCCGCTGCGCTGGGCGCCCCCCCCCCCCCCCGGAGGCGCCGCCCCGGCGCCGCCCCCCGGCGCGCTCCGCGCCGATGCAAGACGTCCACGCGAACCTCCGGGAAAGCGTCATCTGCTACGTCTCCCCGCCGCTGCTCCTTCTCCTCCGTTCTCCGATGAGGGTCGGCGATGCAAGGGGTGGCGGGCTTTCAACATTGACGCTTCGCAAACGCAGGCCCGCGGGCTCTCTTTCGGCGCGAGGCCCGACAGTCGGCATCGAAGCTCAGCTGTTTTACTTCCTAGCGCGTTTCAGTCGCGATGGCGCGCCTCGGACGCGAGTGCGTGCGCCTTGCGCGCGTGTGATCCCGTTTGAATTCCGACATTCGTACCTCCTCCCCTCTGCCTCAAGCCAGGTTTGGCCGCAGGTGGCTCCCCTGGTTATGTTAGCTATGGCCCCTTCCCATCACATGCGACTCTAGCAAGACATCATCGCCTCCCCTCTGCCTCTTGCCCCTGCTACGACTCATTCCTCCGCCCTCCTCTCCTCACCCCTGCCGCTGCCCCGCCCCCCCTGCACGCGCCTTGGGGCCCCCGCTGCCCGAAAACGGCTCGCCGGAGGGCCGAGATGGAGGAGCACCATGGCACGACTCTCGAGTCGGGCATGTCCCTCTACAGGACGGATATTCAAACATAGTCAAAAAATAGTGGGACGAGTTCTCAATGTTGTTAGTCCTTGTTTGACTCTTTTCATTTGTTGTCCAAAATCCGTTTCCGGGAGGAGGACGCACCCGACGTAACGCTACTCCACAGATCTCTCCTGGGGTGCGTTTTGATCCGGGTCCGAGCCTTGCGCTGCGGTTTCGGTCACCGTTGGCGTGTTCGGCACGATCGAGGGGACAGTTTTGTATGACTCTTGGTATGCTGAAGATGTGCGCATCCCCGGTCGGCGTTACGGTGTTTCCAACGGAAGCAATGGCACGAGATCGAACAGGTTACGTGGAGGGCTCACGAGTGAGGGCAGCACCCCCGAAAGAAGGAGGCGAATGCAGCCGTGGTGGCGAGGGAAGAGCAAGGGTTATTGGTGTCCGGGGCGCGGAAATGAATCGGGGTTCGCGCGTGGCGGCTTGGGTCGGAGAGCTGCCACTCTCCGTGGGTGTGTGTGTGGCGCGAGGGCGTCGGGGGCGCGAACATATCGGCGCGTCACGCTTGCGGGGCGCGAGGCGCGAAATGATAGTGGAGGCCCATGCCAAGAATCACCCCGTTTGCACTGCTCGGTCTGAACGCGGCGCTGCCCACCGTGCACCCCTCGGCCCACGCATCCCTCTGGATGCTCGGCTCGGAGGTGCGTCCTCCCTTGTCAAGCAGTGGCGAAGCGGGGCCGCACGAAGTGTTGTTAGAGCATTTCTGGCCGGGGCCGTCTTGTTTTAACACATCGGACTTATGCTCTAAGAACATTCTTGGGTTCTAAGAAAATTTCGCGATTGGCCTATAGGAGTGCCGGGACGGTCGGTCCCTGCTCAACCCACCTTCTCGGCAGGTCAAGGTGGCCAGCCGCGCGTCCAGGGTGGGAGACTCCGACGAGAAGTGGGAGACGACCAAGGCTCGGCGGACCGCCGCGCGCGCGGCGCACTCGGGGCAGCGCTGGGAGGGGGCGCGGGCCCAGGGGGAACGCTACGTGGGCGGGGGTCTCCTCAAGGGCAATGATATCGTTTCTCGTCTCTTGAATGCACGACACACAATTATGTTGAATACGAGCGAGGTCTTCTGGCCACTGCTCATCTCCCCGGTCGACTGGGGAAAACCCCAATTAATCGGTGTTTGAACCATCGAACCAGGGAACAGAGCACTGCCGGGGGCTTGAGAGGATGTCTCTGAGGCGAGAGGTTTGAGGATGTCTCTGAGGCTGCCACTGGGCGAGAGGTTTGAGGTGCGAGGCTTCTTGGCGTGCTCATCGCTCCCAGCGGCTGCGCCTCGCCGAGGCGCTCTGGGGGTGCCGGGATCTTCCCGAACGGCCCCCGGTGAGCCGAGCTTAGGGCGGGAACGCGAAGGGGTAGCGTTAGGGGGGTATCGCCTCAGGGGGGGATGGGGTGCATCGACCCCCAGTCGTCCATGTCCTTAGTGGTTGTTGAAAGCGCTCAGGGCGTTTTTGTTATCAGCTTGCATTTTCTCCTGTGTTCGGCCAACCACGTTGACTTCAAACGTATCAAATGCCCGAGCCACAGAACTCTTCGAAACAGAACACAAATCATTCGGAACCGAACACCTGCAAACTAGACGAGAATTGTTTTGGCTCAAGTTGGAAACCGATGTTGCAAACGGAGACCTGCGAATTATAAACCAAAACGAGTTTGCAAACATCAGCGTTTGCGCAGTCTGGGCTAAGGACCCAGATGGTTTGCGTCGCAGCGCGGCAGAGGCAGTCCGCATGCGCGTCCAGGCAAACTTTGCTACGGTATTTCGAATTGTCCGCATGCAAAAGGGGAAGAGGGTAAGCCCCCCCAACGTACAATTTCGACCAGTTCACCCGGAGAAGATACGACATGCAACATGTTCCAATCTCGGGGAGATGAGACGACCACGTCTGAAAGAGCGCGTTTTGTGGTCGTTTGGAGGAGGGGGGGTTTGGAACTGGACCCCTCCCCCTGGATGGAGGGGGGGGGTTCGAGCCCCCCCCCTTCCCGTGACGGAGGGGGGGGGTTCGAACTCCCCCCCGCCCTGTCGTGACGGTAGGGAGGGGGGTTCGACCCCCCCCCCCATTGCTTCCCCTCTCATTGGGCCGGCGCTGCGCTTGGGTCGGCGGCGGCTGACGACGGCGGCGGGGACGACGATTTCCATTTCTTGGCCAGCGCCGGCGCATGCGGCGGCGGGCGGCGGTGGCGGGAAGCGTCGACGAGGACGACGGTGGTGGTGGTGGTGGGTTGTGGTGGTGGTGGTGGCTGCGGTGGTGGTGGTTGTGGTGGTGGTGGTGGTGTGGTTGCTGGTGGTGATTGTGGCGGTGGGTGGTTTGTGGTGGTGGTGGTGGTCTGGTGATGATGTGGTGGTGGTTTGTGGTGGTGGTGGTGGTTGTTTGTGGTGGTGGTGGTGGTTTGGTGGTAGTGTGGTGGTTGTTTGTGGTGGTGGTGGTGGGTTGTGGTTGCGGCGGTGGTTTGTGGAGGTGGTGCTTTTGGTGGAGGTGGTGGTGGCGGTGGTGGTGGTGTGGTGGTTTGCGGTGGTGGTGGTGGGTTGTGCTGTTGGTAGTGGTGGTGGTTGTTGCGGTGATGGTGATGGTGTGGTAGATTTGTATTGGTGCTGGTAGTGGTGGTGGGTTGTGGTGGTGGTTTGTTGTGATGGTGAGTTGTGGTGGTGGTGGTTGTGGTGGTGTAGTGGTGGTTTGTGGTGGTGGTGGTGGTATGGTGGTTTGTGGTGCTGGCGGTGGGTTGTGCTGCTGGTAGTGGTGTTGGTTGTAGCGGTGATGGTGGTGGTGGTGGTGTGGTGAATTTTGGTGGTGGTGGTGGTGGTAGTGGTGGTGGGTTTTTTGTGGTGGTCGTAGTGGTGATGATGAGTTGCGGGGGTCGTTGTGGTGGTGGTGGTGGCTGTGGTGGTGGTGGTGGGTGGTGTGTGGTGCCTTTGGTGGCGGTGTGGTGGTGGTGGTAGTGGTGGTGGTGGTAGTGGTGGTGGTGGTGGTGGTGGTAGTGGTGGTAATCGTCGCTGCGTCCCCGCCGTCGCCGGCGCCAGCGCCGGCGCTGCTGGCCGCCGCTCGCGCCGGCGCCGAACGGGGGGAGGGGGGGGGGGGGGGTGAAAACCCCCTCCCTTCCCTAGGGCTGCCCCTGGTCATCGTCGCTGCGTCCCCGCCGTGGGCGCTGCTGGCTGCCGCCAGCGCCGGCGCCAGCGCCGAGGGGGGGGGGTCGGGATGGGGAGGGTTTTGGGGGGAGGGGAGTCCTCCTGGTTTTGATCGACGGCGCCAAGTGTTGGGGGGGGGCACCCCCCGGTTTTGAAACGCGCCGCCGAATGTTCCAAAGGCAAGCGCCAGTGAAACGCGTTCTCTTTCACGTCTTGAAAACGCAATGCACACTTTTTTTAATATATATATATATATATATATAAACCGTCTCAAACGAGTTTTTTCGATAGTTTTTCGATAGTTGGCGCATGGATGTTCGCATCCGTCTTAGCTGGAACGTTTATGCACGAGCCTTACGCCATTGCGCCGATCCCTAGAAGAGGGACGTAGCCAATTGGTGAGGCCTTCTGAGGCCTCGTGGAACCCTCTAGGGGGCCCCATGTAGACCTATTGGGAGCCTCTCTGGAGTTTCTTGTCCGCCAGGGACGCCTGCCCCAGGCTGGCAAGAAATGTTCGACCCCGACGTTTCCCCGTACAGTCGACCCACATGATAAGGATGGACAACCTTCCCAAGGGTACCCATGCATCCTTGCATTCTCGGTCCAAGCTTGGCCATTTTGGTTGGCCGCGCCCCGCTCGAAAGGTTTCGAAATTGGCGTCAGAGGCCCTTGCATCCGCAGCGCGCATCCTTATGATACGGACCGGATGTAAACCCCCCAGCCGCCCTGGGGCAGGCGGCCCAGACGATGGACATGTTTCGTGTCCTCGTATTACGAACTCTTTTTGTACATCTCCCTTACTCCGGTGAGAGAAAGCGACTGCGAGGGAGGAAAGAGCGCGTTCTTTTGTCGCTTTGGGGGGGGGGAACCGGACTCCACCCCTCTGGATGAAAAGGGTAGGTTTGAACTCCCCCCCTCCCCTAGTTTTGCTCTCTCCTCCTCCTCCTCGGTCCGTCGCCTACGTCGTCGGCGGCTGGCGGCGGGGGCGGGGACGACGACTTCCTTTTCTGGGCCGGCGCCGGCGCCTGCGGCGGCGGGCGGCGGCGGCGGGGAGCGTCGACGAGGACGACGGCGACGACGCTCCGCCACCGTGTTTTGGTTTTGGGTCAAAGTCCAAATCGACTCATCTTGCGGAGGGCACTCGGGGGCCTTCGAGAGGTTTTTATGAAGCGTCCTGACCGCCTCTTGGGCGTCTCTCGGGGCCTCTCTGAAGTGGTGGTGGTGGTGGGCTGCGGTGGTGGTTGTGGTGGTGGTTGTGGCGATGGTGGTGGTGGTGGTGGTGGTGTTGATGTGCTCGTTGGTGGTGGTGGCGGTGGTGGTTGCGATTGCTGTGGTGGCAAATTGTGGACGTGGTAGTGGTGGTGGCGGTGGTGGTGCGGTGGTTTTTTGTGGTGGTGGTGGTAGTTGTGGTGGTGGTGGGTTCAAGTGGTGATGGTGGTGTGGTGGTTTGTCGTGGTGGTTGTGGTGCTGGTTGTGGTGGTTCTGGTGGTTGGTTGTGGTGGTGATGGTGGTTGTGGTGGTGATGTGTTGTGGTGGTGGTGGTGTAGTGGTGGGTGGTGGTGGTGGTGGTGATGGTCGTAGTGGTGGTGGTGGTGTGGTGGTTTGTGTTGGTGTTTGTGGTGGCGGGTTGTGGTGGAAATGGTTGCGGTGGTTGTGGTTTTGGTGTGGTGGTTTGTTGTGTTGGTTGTGGGTGGTGGTGGTGTTTGTAGTGGGGGTTTGGTGGAGGTGTGGTGATGGTTTGCGGTGGTTGTGGTGGTGGGTTGTAGTGATGGTGGAAGTGGTGGCGGTGGTGGTGGTGGTTGTGGTGTGTTGGTTTGTGGTGGTGGTGTTGGCGGTGCTGGTGGTGGTAGTGGTTTGTGGTGGTGGTGGTGATGGGGGTGGCGTCGGTGGTGTTGGTAGTGGTGGTGGGTTGTGCTGCTGGTAGTGGTGGTGGTTGTGGCCGTGGTAGTGATGGTGGTGTGGCAAAGTGGTGGTTGTGGACGTGGTGGAGGGTTGTTGTGGTGGTGGTTTTGGTGAGTTGTTGTGGTGGTGGTGGTGGCTGTGGTGGTGGTGGTGGTGGTGGTGGCGTGGTGGTGGTAGGTTGGGGTGGTGGTGGCGGTGGTATTGGTGGTGGTGGTGTTGGCGTGGTGGTTTGTCGTGGTGGTGGTGGTGGGCTGCGGTGTTGGTGGTGGTGGTGCTGCTGGTAGCGGTGCTGGTGGTGGTGGTGGGTAGTGGGTGGTGGATAATGGTGGTGGTAGTGGTGGTGGTTGTGGTGGTGTGGTGGTTTGTGGTGGTGTTGGTGGCTTGTGGTGATGGTTGCGGTAATTGTGGTGGTGCGGGTAATTCTCCAATCAGAGTTTGTTTCTGCAGAGGTTCTAGCGGGTTCATATGGTTATTCGGGGATGCCTTAAGCGACGCGAGAGATTTTGTCGAGGATGTTTCAAGCGAAACAAGCATTTATTCGAGGATGTCTCAAGCAAAACAAACAATTATTTCGAGGATGACTGAAGCGAAAAAAACGTTTTTGATGATCTCACGCGAAACAACAATTATTTCGAGGATGTCTTAAGCGAAGCTGGAGGTTTGCCGAGGATGTCTCAAGCGAAACAAGCATTTACGAACATGTCCCAAGCGAAGCGAGCACGCTTGCGAGGATGTCTCAAGCGAAACAATCAAGTGTTCGACGATGTCTCAAGCGAAACAAAAATTATTGCAAGGATGTTTCAAACGAAACAAGCAATTGTTTGAGGATGTTTCAAGCGAAACAAACAATACGAGGATGCCTTAAGCGAAGCGAGAGATTTGTCGAGGATGTCTCAAGCGAAACAAACATTTATTCGAGGATAGCTCACGCGAAACAAGCACGCTTTCTCGGGCCTCGATCTTCGACCCTCGGACCTCTATCCTCGATCCTCGGACCTCGCCGCCGTCGATCGTCGGACCTCGATCCTCGTCTCTGGGATATCGATCCTCGATCCTCGGACTTCGGTTCTCGATCCTCGATCCTCGGCTTTCGGTCCTCTTAACATCATCTCTTTCTCCTCCCACATGCTGGCCTCCGGTAGGCAACATGTATAATCCCCCCGCAACCCCGAACTTTATCATCCCTGTGGCATTAATCTCGGCAGCACTAAATTAGTTGCGTCGCCCAATTTGATGGTCCGCCCGGGCGCCCGGGTGCCCAGGAGCTGCGTTGCCGATTTCGGCGGCCCGCCCAGATGCTTGGGCGCCTCTATAGCCCTATAGCCTTATAGCCCAATAGCCCTACAGCCATGTGGCCCTCTAGCCCTATAGCCTTCTAGCTCCAAAGCCCTACAGCCCTTTAGCCCTTTCAGCCCTATAGCCCCATAGCCCTGGCCCTATAGCCCAACAGCCCTATAGCCCTTTAGACCTGTAGCCCTAGATGCACATAGCCCCATTGCCCAATAGCCCTATAGGCCTATAGCCCCATAGACCCAACAAAGATTATGATCGGGCTTTCTCTCCGGTATCATGGTGTGGTGGTTTGTGGTGGTGGTGGTGGTGGTGGTAGTGGTGGTGGTGGTGGTGGTGGCGGTGGTGGTGGTGGTGGTGGTGGTGGTGGTGGTGGTGGTGGTGGGGGTGCCTCCAACCCTATTCGGACCCCAACCCTATTCGGACCCCATCCAGGAGGCTTCAAACGGTATTCTAATCGGGCGAAATTTCCCTTCGTCCTCCATCGCTCTTGCGGCCAACATTCATTTCCTCAGGATACTCTTGCGTCCTTTCGGCGGCGAGCGAGGGGGAGAAGTGAGAAGGAGACGGCCTCCCCGGAAGGCGGCGGGACTTCTCAGAAGCCTTCGCGCTTCCGGAGAAATCCTTGGGTGTCTTCGGGGAAGGCTCGGAAGACTTCTCGGAAAGCCCGGGGACTTTTGAGCCTTCTGAGAAGGCCCGCCCCTTCTCTCGGCGTCACCCCGACATTCTTATACTATATGTGCGTCCCCCCCCCAGGGGCGACGCGCGCACCGAGAAATCTTATAGTATCTGCGTCTGGCGGGCGCTTTCTGGCCACACCGCTCGGGAAAGGATATGATACAAGATGGGCATACTATATGTTCGGGTCGGACGCGCGCCTCCAAGGTGAGCATACAGCACTAGTATGTCTCTGCGCGTCCCATTCTCGCTCCCCCCTCGCTCGCCGCCCAGTCCTCGCTTCTGCGGGCCCGTCCTAGGCCTCTCGCCGGCCAGCCGCCCAGGGGGTTACCCCCACGGGGCGGGCGGCATCCTTGGGAGCGCTCCTCTCGGCGGCCAGGGCCCCTGCGACCTTTCGTTTTTGGTTGCTGCTGCGACAAAGGCCCCCTCGCCGCACTCGAACACACGACATCAAAGTCATATGTGCAGGCCTGTTCGGAATGATTAACCAAGAAAGGGCCCCCTGACCCTTGGGAAGGAGGGGGCCTAAGTCGGGAGGGCCATTGACATCAGGGATAGCAGATATACCAGACCCAGCCGCCCAGATGCAGTGTCCCTGATGCCAGGACGGGGCCGTCAGTGAGGCCACGTCTTCACCCTGTTATCTGGGCTACGGGTTCTTTGATCCTCGATGACGGAACATCTCCTGTTGGTCCGGCCGGCCGGCCGCAGACATGGCGTTTTGTGTTGAAGTTTCCTTTGGAATAGTTGGTCGGTGCGCTGTTGGCGACGTATAGTGTGGTAGCCGGTTGGGCCCTTGCGACCTCGCCGCCCGTTCGTGTTGTAGGCTTGGCGTTGCCAGGAGTCGCTGGTGGCTTTCTGGAAAGGGGCCGCCGCCCTGTGTGATGGGCCAGTTTTCCACCACCACGACCACATGTAGGACGGAAGAGAAGGGAGGATGGGGAGCCTCCTCCTCCTCCTCCTCCTCGTCCTCCTCCGCGTCCTCCTCGTCCTCGTCCTCCTCCTCCTCCTCTTACTCCTCCTCCTCCCCCTCCTCCTCCTCCTCTTCCTCCTCCCCCTCTTCCACCCCCTCTCCTACATATGGCAGTGGTGGTGGAACATCGGCCCATCACTCCCTCTGGGCCTCCCTGCCTCGGGCGCGGGAGAGAGCGGTCGCCACGCCCGCCGAGGTCTGGAACGACACCGTGGCCAACCTGACCCTCATGGCCTTAGGCGGGGCTCCGCCGCTCCTGCGCGCTGCACGGCGCGCTCCGCTCCAGGGTGCGCGCAGGAGAGGGACAGGTGCCCCGGACCCCCTTCGCTTGGCATCGCTCGGACGTGTGTATTGTTTCCTTCGGCCAGGACCATCGAGGAGCATCCTTGATCATTTGGCGAAAGAGCCACGCACGAAACCGACAAAACACAGGGAATGGACGTCCGAGCGATGGCCAGCCCTTCGAGCAATGGAAAAATCGTGACGGCTGGTTTTTCTACACTTTCGGCCTCTGGGGACCCTTACTGGGCTGCGGGACCGTCAAAAAACGACTCAGGGTGAAACACCAGTCCCGGGGAATGGGTCGAGACCCTTGGATTTCGACGTCATGAAAGCATCATGACGTTGAGGGTCTGGGACCCATGCCGCCCACCCACCCCCCGCGCATTCCCCTTTTGTCGACCTTCCGGGTGGCCCTCGCCGCCACCGCTGGATTCGCCTCGGAGTGCTGGTCAGATCGCACCCTGGGAGAGGTCCGGGGAGTGGCAGTATCGGTAGTTTCTGCTTTCCCCAGGCGCCGTTCAGAGGAGTGCGGGCTGAGGTGGCGGCAGTTTGCCTTCGGGGGGCAGAGGGGGGGGGGGCTTTGTTGCCACGTCCGAAAACAGCTCAGACACGGGTGCGTCTGGACCCTGGGAGGGGCCCGGGGACCGAGTCTGAGCCGCCGTGGCCTTTGCTCGCCCTGCTCCGCCTCTCCTGCGCGCGACTCGCGCGCTGCGCTCCAGGGGACAAGGCGTACGGTAGGTCCCTGTGGTGTCAACGCAGGTGCGGCTCCAGTGCGGGCGGGCGTTCAAGGCTGCGCGGAATCGGACGACCAACACGGAACGATCTGGCAACCGATAAGCCGCCGAGCGTTCAGGGTTGAGCGATCCACGCGGTGTCGGAGACCAGCGCGGAAGTCGTCACGATGCGAGCTTCCGTACTGATGCGGGTGCCCTTCCTTCGTTTTCCCCTTTTGAGGCCTCCCAGATGGCCTCGTCGGTACTGTTGGAGGCCCACATGGCCCTGATGGCTGTGTTTTGGCGGAGTTCTGCCGCTCTTGCGCGGGCAGCATGCGTGCCACTGGGTGGACGGGCGGGCGGGGGGCATCTTCAATTCCGCGGCGGTTTCCCCTCTGCACCTTCCAGGGGACCTCGTCAGGTTCGCGGTCCATCTTCAACACGGGCCCCTGGGGAATGGGCCGAGACTCTAGCACGATAACACCAACGTCGGAGATCTGGAATGTAAAAAAATGCCCGATCTCATCAGTGCCCGCCCGCGTAGCCCTTCGAATAGCACGGCGTCGGATATCTGGAAAGGGCAGGCGGGAAAGGGGGGCACAGTGGGGGCCCATGCCAAGAAACACCCCGCTTGCCTCCAGGGTGCCCTGGGTTTCTTAAGGGCTCCCACGAGGGCGCGAAGTTATTCGCGCTTCGCGCTTCGCGGTCCTCGTTCCTTCTCCTCCTCCTCCTCGTCCTCCTTTTCTCCCTTTGGGGGGGCGGCGCGAGAGCGCGAAGTTATTCGCGTTTCGCGCTTCGCGGAGCGCGAAGCGCGAAGTTGGGAGCCCTAGCGTGGCGCTCCCACGCCAGAGATCAGTGGACGCCTTGGGGTCTCAGGATTGGGTCTTCTGTGGAAGGTTTCCCGTGGTCGAGCCCCTGCTGCATCTGGAAAGGGCAGGCGGGAAAGGGAGGTACACGGAGTCTGCGGCGCGCCACCGGTTTCGCCCCCGCATCGCTGGGCGCGCTCCCGGAGGCGCGGTCGCTGCCCCCTCTGCACAGGACCAGCCGCCGCGTGCAGGAGCGCCTGCGTGCTGCACTGCACTGACGGGGCCCAGGGACACACGAAGAGATGCACGAATCACAGGAGTCCCAGGAATTGTCCGTATTCTCTGGGGTTTCATCTTCCCCCCCACTTCACACATTCTCCCATATTCTTTGCTTGGGGTCGCCGATTGATTGTGTCTGTGCGTCTGTTCCCCTCCTGATGCACGCTCGCCTGGCACAGGAAAACCTGCTGCACGCAGCTGGCTCCCTCGCCCCTCGCTCGCTGCCTACACGCCGGTCGTTGAACGTAGGTGTTGAACGCGCCTTTCTAACACCTGTGCCCCTGGTAAGGAACCCCCAGGGGATAATAAAGTTCGGGGCCCTGGGGGGATAATTCACGATTTGCCTCGGCAAGTCGTGCGTGGGATGCATGGCGAGGAAAGAGGAGGTCGTGGTCGTCGTCGTCGTCGTCGTCGTCGTCGTCGTCGTCGTCGCTTCGTCGCACGAAGACGACGACGGGGACGATGACGACAACGACGACGACCTAGCCCTGCCACAAATGTCACAAGGAGGAGAAGGTAAAGGAGAGATAACGGGAGGGGAGGAGGATGGGTGGGGGAGGAGAGAGGCCCCAGGTCAAGTTTACTACCAAGATTTGATTCGGGGCCGTCTGGGGGCCATTTGGGGGCGTCTTCGGGCCCTTTGGGAGGCCTCTTTGGGGCCTCTTGAGCCGTCTTGGGGGCCTCCAGGGCCGCCTTGGAGCGTCGAGAAGCCGAAACGGCGAGAATGGGCGCCTTGGCAGCCTCTTGGGCAGTCTTGGGGCCATCTTCGACGTCTTAGAATGATCATTGGGCGTCTGGGGGCCATCTTGGACGTCTTGAAATGATCATTGGGCGTCTTGGGGCCATTTTGGACCGTCTGGAACCCTGTCTGGGGCCCGGAAGGGAAGTCCTGCGGCAAGATGCCGGCAACCCTAGGGGAACTGCGCCAATTCCCCAGAGGTTTGAGAATTTTGGGTCTGGGTCCCAACAATTGACGCCGTAGAATTGAGGATTGAGGCTCAGGGTATTGGGCAAAGGAGCTGAGGACACGCCCACTCCGTGCCCAGCGGCGTAGAAGGGCTGTATACTTATGTGGCTCTAGACTCAGGGTGCTAGCGTTTCGGGTTAGGAAGCGTGCTCATGGTAGGGTATCTGGATACGGGTGATTGGGTGCTGGGGATACGGTTGGGGTGTTAGGGCGAGGCTGTTAGGCTTAAGGTGGCAGGGGGTAGGGGGGTCAGGAGCAAACAAACTGGTGGGCGAGTGTGCACTTTTTTGGCGCGGGGGCGATTATGTAGGGGCGTGGGAAGGGGTGGCGCTCAACTCCCTGGCACGTAGGAGGCAGCCGATGCGGGGTGGCGACGTCCGGTCTCCAGCAGTCCATGTTCTGAGGACGTCTCGGGCAGAAGCTGCCGTTTGGAAAGCCAGCGTCGTACAGCAGTTCCTCCAGCATCCCCATTTCGCGAGGATGTCTCAAGCGACACTGCCTGGCTCCCCCAAAAAACAGAAGCAGCGCGCAAGGGCGAGGCACCACGCAAGTCTCGCGGCGCGCACCCCAGATCTGTCTTCCGCCAAGAGGCGCGAGGCTGCGAGTGCCACCGAGACCTGCGCGAGGTGCGAGGCCGGGTCACCGCGCATGCATGCGCATCGTTGGCCGCGGCGTCAGCTGCAGGGAGTGCCGAGCGTCGGGCGGAGGGAGCTCTGCACATGCACTTGTCTTGACCTGGCCCGTCCCCTGCCCGGGATCGGTGCGTACAGTGGAGACCCATGCTTAACAACGCCTTGCTTGCCTCCAGGGTGCCATGGGTTCTTGGGTTTCGCTGGTTCTGCTCTGGAGAGCGTGACGTGCCCACACCTACAGGCAAGGGACGTCCTGGGGTCTCAGGGTTGAGTTTCTTGTGGAAGGATGTTTCTTGTGGTCGAGCTCCTACTGTATGCCTTCCCAGCCGAGCCAGGACGGGGGGTCCAGAGCAGATCCAAGAACCCCGCGCGGAGCGCCAAAAGTTTATGTTCATGCCTCTTTGTTGCATTCATCTACGTGCACTTCTCTTGACCTGGCCCATGTGCTGCCCGGGGATCGGCGCGTACGCCTTCCCAGCCGATCCAGGAGGCCGTGCGCACCGATCTTAGGCCGAAGGATGGGGCCCCGCCAGGATCGGCCCATGTGCATGGAGTCCCCTCTCCTCCAAGAGAGGAGGGCGGAACCGATGCCGCAGAGCACACGGGTCGGGCATGCACGGGCAGGCGCGGACGACTTCACCCAACGAGCCCGGTACCCTCCTCTCTCCTCCTCCTCCTCCTCCTCCTCCTCCTCCTCCTCCTCCTCCTCCTCCTCCTCCTCCTCCTCCTCCTCCTCCTCCTCGTATTTCTCCTCCTCATCTCCGCCGTCGGGAGGGGGAGGAGGTCTTCCGACACATGAGCCTGACCAGGGAGTGTCCCCTGCCCAGGTTTTCAGGCGAGTTCACGCCCGCATACAGGCTTCCAAGGTGCGAGCTCGCTCCCCTTCCCCCCCCTCCGAGGATTGTTCGTGCCCGTCTCTTGGGCTCCGCCCCGTCGACGGCTCAGGGTGTGGCTTTCACTGTTCAGCGTGACGACACGCTCGTCCAGGCCGTCAGCGAGTTCGAGGCACGGCTTGCTGTCTCTGCCCCCCCTCCCCTGCCTCGTTCGGCCTCTTTCGGGCCGCTCAGGAGGGAGCCGCCAATCAAGGCCAGGCGCCTTGGAGGGACGGGGGGTGGGCCTGCCGCGGATCCTTGCTCTCGCCCCGCTCGTCCCCTGCCCCGTGCTGGTGAAATCCCTCCCGAGGCTGCCAGGGGACACGAGCTTTTTGTTGCCCCTGGGGCCGTGGTCATTTGTATGACGTGTGGGGGCATCTCCACGGGCAAGGCCTCTTCTTTGGTGTCCAACTGCCCGCCCCCACCCTATTCTAATCGTGCTGCTGGTCACATGTTGCGTTTCAGTACCAACAGGCACCCCGCTGACAACAGGCGGCACGAATCCATATCTGGTCAGAGACGTCTCAGAGTCGATGACCCCGAGGTTCACTGGTTGAATCTCGCCTAACTCGTTTGGGGTTTTCCTGTTTTTTGAGCTCGCCTCTCTCCTTTGCGTGCTCTCACTGCGCTTGCGCGCCCTCCCCGCCGTGATCCCGATTTCGGGTGGGCTCCTGGGGTGGGCGCCACGTGAGCGCTGGAGCCGAGGCCGATCGGTCTTGGCTCGCTTCTTAGTGGCCGTTGGCGCTTCGCGCGACGGACTCCCTTCAGGCTGCGTACTCATCTCCTTCCTCCTCCTCCTCCTCCTCTTCGTCCTCTTCCTCCTCCTCCTGGCCCATGCCCCCAGTCATAGAAGAAACATCGCCATAGACATAAACTTTACGCGCACCGCGCGGATTTCTTGGATCCGCGCTGGGTCCCCCTGGCGGCGCCTCCGGCGCCGCCCCTGGCGCGGTCCGCGCGCCAGGCAGGGGGTCAGGCGCAGATCCAAGAATTCCGCGCGGAGCGCCACAAGTTTATGGTTGTGGCGTTTTTTCTTCTTGCAAACGAGCCCCCGTGTCCTCAGGCTCCAGCGCCCCCGAGATCTTGCTGAGCGTCATTGACCTCTTCAAGAAGGCGCCCCATGGGGTCCCCGGGACGGCGGCGAGGACGAGCTGGACCAGGTGTTGCCAGAAGTTGTGCGCCGCTCTTCGATTCGTCTGCGGGGCCTCCGGGGCCCCCGTCAAGGGTGCGCTGGAAGCTCCTCCCCGAAGAAGCAGCACCTGCGTAAGCGACACTTTCAGAGCTCCGTGAGGATCTCTTGGAGCTGCGCTGGGCCCCCATGGCGGCGCCTCTGGCGCCCCCCTGGCGCGCAGAGCGCGCCAGGAACGGGGGTCCAGCTCCAGCTCCAGTGCAAGGCATCCGCGTAGTTATCAGAGTTTGCGCTTATTCCGCTTCTTGTTTCTCTGCATCTGCTTCTCCCCGTGAATACTGGGGCACCTTGCAGCCGAGCATAGGCGGGTGACCAGGTAATGCCAAGCGGGGAACATGCTTCTGGACTGTCCCTTTCGCACCCGGGGATCACCCTCACAGTGGTTAGGCCCAGATGGGGACAATGAGAGCGGGTGATCGAATACGTATATATTGTCCGGCTGGCCGTTGTGTTTTGCCGCAGCTTGTCGCGCAGCGTAAAGCGGGTATCGCGACGCTCTGTGAGGCCACGGCATTTGTGTTCATGTGTTTTGCACTCAGTTTTGTCGCTCTCTCTCCCTCTCTCTCTCGATGGGTCAATTTCCCACCACTACCATAGGTAGGGCGGGGAAAAGGGATGATGGGGAGGTCCTCCTTCTCCTCCTTTTTCTCCTCCACCTCCTCCTCCTCCTCCTCCTCCTTTCCCCCCCTTTCCTACCTATGACAGTAGTTGTGGAAAAGCGGTCCATCGTCACTCTTCCTCTTTCCCTTTTCCGGCCGCTTGTGCCCTCGAAAGAAACAGAGGCACGAGCGCACGTTTTGCCCCGTCCTCGCGGATGCCCTGGGCCGGCCGGCGCTGGCCCCCCTCCCCTTGGCGGCGCGCCTCCTGCCGCTCCCGGCGCGCCAGCGAGGGGGGGGGGGGGCACGGCACCGACCCGGGAAGCACTCCAAAGTGTTGCCTGCGAGGCGCGAACAAGGGGGTGCCACTCCAACATGCTTCTGCTATATGTGCGTCGCCCCCCCCCCCCCAGGGGCGACGCGCGCACCGAGAAATCTTTTAGTATCTGCGTCGTGGCGGGCGTTTTCTGGCCACACCGCTCGGGAAACGACGTGCTATAATAGGGGTATGCTATATGTTTGAATCGGACGCGCGCCTCCACGGAGGGCAGATAGTATTAGTAGGTCTCTGTGCGTCCCAAAAAAGAGGTGCTCGTGGGTGCGGTTTTCGCGTGGCCTCCGCGCTCTGCCTCTCAAGTCGGGCTCGCTTCGCCTCGCGTCTGCGTTGGCCGGGAGGAGGCGCGGGCCTGGGCGGGAGGATGGCGAGGCTGGCGAGGCCAGAGCTCCGGAGGAGGGGGGCGAGGGCGGGAGGGCGGAGGACGCGCACGGAGGGCGTCGAGCCGGGGCCGCGCGGAGGAGGGGGGGGAGCGGGTGGGCTCGGGGGAAAGGGGCTCGAGGAGGGGATGGGGGCGGCGGTCGGTGCAGGAGGGCGGGGGGCAGTGCGAGGAGGGGCGGCGTGTGCTGCGGGTGCGCGGCCTGGCGCGTCGAAGCCGGAGAGGCCAGCCTCGATGGGGAGGAGCATCGAGTCCCTTCGAGTCAGCCCGCACAATAATGCGGGGCAACCTTCCCAAGGGTACCCACGCGTCCTTGCCTCCTCGGTCCATCCTTGGCCACTTTCGTTGGCCGCGCCCCGCTCGGAAAGCTCTGAAATGGCCTTCCAAGGCCCTTGCATCCTGTTCGCGCATCCTTACTGTACGGGTCGACTGTAGAGACGTGCAGCGCCGCCTCTACCTTTTGCCACTGATGTTCCTGCTTTTCCCCGTCGTCGCCGTCCCCCACATCCCGCTTTCCCCCTCCTCGTCAGCGTTCTCGTATACCCTTCGGGCATAACCTTGGGCTGGGGATGGGGGCTGGTCTTGTCACGATTCGCGCCAGCGTTGTCTTGGGAATGCTTGGTATGACCCAGAGACAGTTTGGATAGCAGATATGTCCCGGGCTCTGCTACGGCAGACCGTGCACCAGGCTATGGATACTTATGCACGAATGTGACAGTTGGTGATGGATTGAGAGCTAAGACGAAACAAAAACATACAAACTGAAACTTGTGGCGCTGCGCGCGGATTTCTCGGATCGGCGCCTGGGCCCCCCTGGCGGCGCCGCCCCTGGCGCGCTCCGCGCGCCAGGGAGGGGGGTCCAAGAGATCCGCGCGGAGCGCCAAAATATTATCCGTAAGGGCTCCGCCCCATGCCGCCGGCCCCCTGTCTCGGAGAACGGGAGATGCAAAAGCTAAATCATGAGGTCTGGGCGCCACCGTGAAGCAGTGTCAGGACCTGCTTCTTTTTCGACCCTGACCTTACGTATCTGCGTCACGGGTGCCACCGAATTTCAGAAATGTGGCAAATCCTTTGTGTTTTTGGACCCTGACCCTACGGGTCTGCGTGAGGGGGGCCGCCGAATTTCAGAAATGTGGCAAATCGCATTTGTTTTTGGACCCTGACCCCGCCGATCTGCATGAGGGGTGCCGCAGGATTTCAGAAATGTGGCAAATCCCATGTGTTTTTGGACCCTGACCGTGCCGATCTGCGTGCGGGGTGCCACCGGATTTCTGAAATGTGGCAAATCGCATGTGTTTTTGGACCTTGACCCTGCCGATCTGCATGAGGGGTGCCGCAGGATTTTTAGAAATGTGGCAAATCCTTTGTGCTTTTGCACCCTGACCCCGCCGATCTGCGTGAGGGGTGCCGCCGAATTTCAGAAATGTGGCACATCGCATGTGTTTGTGGACCTTGACCCCGCCGATCTGCGCGAGGGTGCCGCCGAATTTCAAACATGTGGCAAATCGCATGTGTTTTTGCTCCCTGACCCCGCCGATCTTCGTGAGGGGTGCCACCGAATTTCAGAAATGCGGCAAATCGCATGTGGTTTTGCACCCTGACCCCGCCGATCTGCGTGAGGGGTGCCGCAGGATTTCAGAAATGTGGCAAATCCCATGTGTTTTTGCTCCCTGACCCCGCCGATCTGTGTGAGGGGTGTCAATTGTTATTCGCCCCAGCAGTTCAGAGCATACGTTTTGGCCGTGGTAAAAATGCCAGTTTTGGGCCTCCCCCCTCGCGCGGTCCATCAACAAGGAACAGTAAGCAGCAAGAAGCATAATTGTAACAACGAACAGTAAGCAGCAAGAGCAGAACTGTAACAGTCGAAACTGGAAGCTGCAACTGGTGCAGGAAACTGCGAACCTTAGGCCTACAGCCTGGTGGCCCCACAAGGGGGCCGGCGGATTCAATGATAGGATTGTTAGGGTGTCCATTGTCGTGGCATCCTCAATTGTAAAGACGGCCGTATTCACGCGTGTGGGCGACGACGGAATACCTAGGTTCTTCATGCGGTTTCTACGGGACTCTTTGTGACAAGGGACGTGCTCACGGCGGGCTGTCTGTGAGCAAGGCCATGCTCACGGCAGGTTGGCCGTGAACACGGCCGTGCCCATTGTGGATTTCATGTCGTTGTTTTTCCAATAACGGTATCCGACAGGCTGGGGGTTGTTAAAGTTGATGGGGCAGAGCTCCCGACCCGCCTCGCATACTTTTTACATACCGAGTACCTTCCACATACCGCGGCTGCCAGGCCCAACGTGCGCCGGTGTGCTCCCTGCGCATCTCGCCTCGCGTCTGCGACGCAAAGCGCCTACGTGCCGCGACCGACAGGCCCAGAGTTTGCCCGTTCTCCCTGGGGATACCACATCGCGTTCTCAGGCGGGGATCGCTCGACGCAGGATAACCTCCGTCCGCCAGCGAAGGTGAGAGCCAGCGCTACGGGGGGGACCGGAGACCGGCTCCCAGAATCGGCGACACATCGCCGATAGATCGGCGATAGGGCTCCCATCTGCAGATCTCGCCCATTCCCGGGATGGGCTGGCTATTGGGCCCCTATCGGCCCTGAATGGGCGATCGGCGATTGGGGGTCGATGCTTCCACCCTTGAGCCTATGCCCCGCTAACGCTGCCCCTTGGTTTGACGGTCGTGCTGAGCCCTCCGGCGGCCGTTCGGGACGATCCGGGCACCCCGGGAACGCTCTCCGCGAGGCGCACCTGCTGGAACGCACCCTGTGAATGCACAGCTTGCGAGAACCGACGAGCCTCGATTCTCTCGTCCTCCCTCCTCATCCTCCTCCTCCTCATCCTCCCCCTCGTCCCCTCCTCCTCCTCCTCCTCCTCCTCCTCCTCCTCCTCCTCCTCCTCCTCCTCCTCCTCCTCCTACTCCTACTCCTACTCCTACTCCTACTCCTACTCCTACTCCTCCCTCCTCCTCCTGCTCCCCCTTGTCCTCCTCCCGGCCTCTCTAGGAGGGGGCCCCTCCCCCCGCCGTTAGGAGTTCCGGGCGGGCGAGCTGGGGCCCTCCACGATCGTGGGCAGCGCTGCCTTCAACCTGCTGGTCATCAGCGGCTCCGCTGGTCGTCGCTGGTCGCCGCCGCTGTCGTCGTCGTCGTCGTCGTCGTCGTCGTCACTTCGCCTCCTCCAGTCCCAGACCCCCTCGTGTACTGAAAAAGTCGCGTCGGAAGTGGTTTTGTATGTAGCACCCCGCAGTTACGGACAAGAGTAGGGGGGCGGGCGCGGGATGGGTTGCCGTTGGGTCGCGGGTTGGTCGCGGGTAGGGTTCTCGGGTGAGTCGCGGGTGGGTCGCGGGTGGGTCGCGGAATGGTCGCGGGTGGGTCGTGGGTGGGTCGCGGGCCAGGTCGCGGGCCGTGTCGCGGGCGAAGACGACGACAACACCGCAACGCAACGTAACAACAATCCGCACCGCGGAACCTCATGTCAGCGACGCACCCAGAGACAGTGAATGACCGTTCGGCCCCCTGTCTGCCTCTGTGGGCCATCGCCGGGCCCCGGAGCGGTCTCGCGGAATAAGTGGATACCTCGGAGGGTCGACGTTGCGAAACAATAGGATGTTGGGAGCTGGATCATCCTCCCTCTCTCTCTCTCTCTCTCTCTCTTCGTCGCGCATGGCTCCTCCCCACTCCTCCTCTACCTCATCCGTCGGCTTTTCCCCCCTTCCTCCTGCACACCGTGCCCCTGCTGCCTCCCCGCCCCAGCCCCTCGTTCTCCTCCCCTGCCATGCCCTCCGCCGGCGCTCTTTTTTCTGCCCCTTGCCCCTGGCCATCCTCCCCCCGCTCCTCCATTCGGTCCGACCGGGTAGGTAGGGAAGAATGTGGACGAAGACCAACAGCAGGTCTTACGCATTGTGCACAGGACTCGCTGCCTGTGTCGCCGCGGGCGTGTGTCCTCTCGAGGCCCAAGCTCGCCCGCCCAATGGCGGCCGCTGTCAGTTTGGGGCGAAACCTGCTACTGGGCATCGTACCCACGTTTCCCGCACTCGCTGCGAGCGTGCCAGGGCATTTGCGCACCGTACATCTTCGTTGTCCCCCCCCCTCGGCGGCGCGCCTGGGGGTGCAGTGAGGAGGGGGGGCAGGCCTTCTCTGAAGTCGGCTGGGCCTCTCAGGAGCCCTCTCGGGCCTCGGAGAAGCCCACTCTGTCTTCGGGAAAGCTTCAGAAATCTTCTCAGAAGGCCGGCCCGAGGCCTTCGACAGGCCCGCCCCCCCCGCATGCATTCCCCCCTGGGCTCCCCACCGACCGCCCCCCCTCTCCCGCCCGCCATCTGCGCAGACGCACACCACCTCCACGGGCGGTTCCCCGCCGAAAGCGCGCCAGTCGACCGAGGCTTCGACCCGCTCGGCGACGACGCCGACGACGACGACGGCCATGCCGACGCCGACAACGACGCCGACGCCGATGAGGACGACGCCGAAGACGACCACGACGACGACCACGACGATGAAGATGACGACCACGCCGACGACGACCACGACGACGAAGATGACGTCGACGACAACGCCGACAACGGGCACGACGACGACGACGACGACGACGAGGATGAGGACGCCGATCCTGACGACGACGACGACGACGACGACGCTGACGACGTCGCCGACGACGACGGGGTCGCCGACGACCACGACGACGGAGACGACGCCGACGACGACGACGACGACGACACCGCGGACGACGCCGACGCCGACTCCGACGACGCCGGCGACGACGCCGACGACGAAGCCGACGACGACCGACTCAGACGACGACGCCGACGATGACGACGACGACGACGCCTCCGACGACGACGACGACGACGAGGACGACGACGACGACGACGACGACGATGACAACGACCCGCGCCGGCCATATGCGCAGAGGCCGCACCACCTCCACGGGCGGTTCCCCGAGGACGACAATGACGTCGATAATGACGCCGTCGTCGCCGACGTTGACGCCGACGACGACGACGTTGATAGCGTGACCGACGCGGACGACCGGGTCGACGACGACGCCGACGCCGACGGCGACGACGACGACGACAGAGACGACGACGACGACGCCGACCACTACCACGACAACAAGGAAGATGACGACGACGACGACGAGGACGACGACGACGAGGCCGACGACGCCCGGGACGACGACGAGGTCGCCGAAGCCGAAGACGACGACAAACAGGCCGACGACGACGTCGACGCCGACTCCGACGACGACGTCGCCGACGACAAAGCCAGCGCCGACGACGCCGACGACGACGACGACGATGACGCTGACGACGACGAGAACGACGACTACGTCGACGCCGACGCCGACACCGGTGCCGACGACGCCGCCCGCGACGCCGACGACGATGACGCCGACGCTGGCGACGATGATGACGACGACTACGATAGTGGGTCCATTCTCGGCCACGCGCGGAGGGGGACGATCAGTGGAGAGGAAGCATGTTGCCAAATCATTTCCAGATGTCTAAAACATGTGTTAAACATATTCCAACATGTAGAAAAACATGTGTTAAACATATTTCAACATGTAAAAACATGTTTAAAACATGTTCGTGATATTTTCTGACATTATACACATCTTTAACTCGATGATAGGATTGTTAGGGTGTCCATTGTCGTGGCATCCACAACCCTACCCCCTCTTGCGCGCGCCGCCAGGTACGGCTTTTCTGTTGCTGCTGTCCTCCAGAGGCCGCCGCCTGGCCCCCGAAGGGGCCGTGGACCACGGCATCCAGAAGAGAGAGCGGCCCCGGGGCAGAGGTCGCGAGGCTTCCGAAGCCCGCGCGGAGAAGAGATATGCTGCAGTCGCCGGAAAGCACATGTACAGTGTGGGCGCGCGTCAAGAAACCAGATAGTTTTCGTCAGGGTGTCCTAGGTTTCTTCGCTCCGCGCGTTGCGCGGCAACTTCCCGCGGCCGTTGAAGAAGTTGTTGCGTTTAGGGTGCTCCGGGTTTCTCCTCGGGTGCATCTCGCGCGCGGGTTTTCAGGGCTGGGTGTCTTGCGAGGGTTTCTTGCGCCAGCGCCCGCACTGTATTGCCTCCTTCGGGAGCCTTGAGACGGGAGTCAATGCAAACGGGGTCAGCCAGGGCACCAGATCCTGCAGGATCCCGCGAAGACCCCCTCTGGCTGGCCCAGGGAACGCGAGCCGCTCGTGGCCACGAGGCGGCCGCGCATATTGGCTGACCCGGGTTTGAGAAGCCCTGCGTTGCAGTTTTTTTTGTCCTGTATCGCATTTTTTTTGTTTTTTGCTGACCCGGGTCTGATTGACCCGGGTTAGCAGGTCCCCGACTCCTGTCAAAGAAGAAGACGCCATAACCATGAAACATTGTGGTGATCCGCGCGGATTTCTTGGATCCGCGCTGGCCCCCCTTGCGGCGCCTCCGGCGCCGCCCCTGGCGCGCTCCGCGCGCCAGGGAGGGGGGTCGCCGGAAAGGACATGTAGTGCCTCTGGTAGTCTCTGTCTTTGGTGAGACCGAAACGCGGACGGAAAGAACGGGGACCAATGCCGACATTACTAGTATCTGTTCGATGGCTGCATGACTTGCGGCCAGCTGTGGAAGCAAGCCGCGGAATGCGCAGGCGTGACCTTTCACCGCTTAGAGAAGAAGGGCGCTGCAGTGCGCAGTATCGTTGCTGACTTGCGCAGTCTGCCGTTGAAACCAGTGATTCGTAGCGCTCGGATGGCTGTCCCCACCCATCGAAAGGGAAAAGTTGTCGCTTGGATCTCGCCTGCCTTGCTCCACATGCAGACTGTCGATACTGGAGCATTATGATGTGCGTCGTGCTGTCAATGCAGACGGCGTGGGTTTTGTTGACGGCTGCCGTGACGGAGGGCATGCCGCGACGGCAGTCTGTGCATGTGCCGGAGCAGTCCAGGCGAATGGATGGTTTATCGAGTTGTTGTCTATATGTAGTCAGTTTCTTCGCGCACTCTGTGTAAACGAACATGGGTGAGGCATCGCGGCAAAACGCCTCTCAATTTTTTTCCCTCTACGTGGTGAATCGCCTGTCAGACTGTCATGCGTTGGCAGAGTCTTCGCCTCCGTTGGTTATCCTGTCCTCCCTCTTCCCCTGTTGCGCAGGTGCGCAGGAGAACACATACAGTCACATACAGTTGAGCAGAACCGCGTGCCGGCGATAATACAGAATCCCCCCTCTTAGCCCCTTATTATCTGATTTTCCCCAGGCCCCATGTGGTATAAATTTTCACGACAGGCGGGGGGGCGAACCTTTTCATCACCCCCAAAGTTCGCATCACAGCTCTGACCTTCACATCATGCATAGCACCATGAGCAATCCCTCTGATCATTGCTGTGAGTATGTCGAGCAAAACGCCCATGTTCGAAGATTCGCCAAGTTCGCGACCATCCGTTTTTTCGAGGATGTGTCAAGCAACTTTCCTATTGTATACAAAGCAGTGCCGAGACAAAGAATTGTCTGAGTGCCCCAGAAACACATGAAACACACCTACGGTTCCTGCGCCCGCGCCTTTTGCGAATTCCGATGCATACATGTAAAACCAGTGGCTTCACAACATGCTCATAACATGTTGCCAGGCGTGCCTCTCGCGCGCGCATGTCGAAATCATTCGAACGCCCTGGCGCGCGTGCTGTCGCACGAGTCACGCGGGGGGGTCAAAAAATCGAGTGTCCCGAGAACATATGTAAACACATGCTTGTGCAACAGCAGTTGTCAAAGAAAGACTGCGCCCGCGCTCCTGCGGATCCCAAAGACAGCCGCCGGTGTGTCAACCTGCCCGTTGGAGTCTGCCAAACGGCCCCCCCCCCCGCCCCGCATGCCGAGACCACTCGAACGCCCGTGCACGCGTGCTGGGGAGGGGGCGCGGTCCGGCTCAACTGATGCCCTGCGGGCCACTCTCGCGCGTCGTCCGCGAGCGCATGTCGGGGGTGGACAGACCTCCTACCCTGACACGTCGATTAGTGAATTGTCCTTTTTCGGTTCTCGAGAGGGCGCCGCGGCCGTTATTTTCCAGGCTTGCGCCCGCCAGTTTTGGGCCCGAGGTCGTTTTCACTAAACCACGTTTTACTAAAGGGAGGTCTGTCCATC